AGCCTCTGCTATTGCACGTCAACGCCATGGCCTTTGGGATCTTGCAGCGCCCAGATCCATTGCTTTTCCACTCTTGTGCTATTTGGCGCCCCACTCAACGCGCCTTTGTGCCCACTGTTCCCCAGGCTGCTCGCTACCTTTGTCCGTACATCCCTCGCACACGCACGCGCACTCTTGCACACACACAACCAAGACCATGTCCGGCACCGATCTCGCCAACCCGCTTCGCAAGTTTAAGCTTGTCTTCCTGGGTGAACAAAGCGGTGCGTTGTTCTCTCAAGTCAAGCGCCTGTCAGGCGCAACATGGGCAAGCCCCCAACCCTACTCTCGTGCTGACCCCACAAAATGAGAGCCTGGTGCCTCGCACGACACGTCGAGTGACTTCTTGCGCGGCTAACGCTAGTCCCGAAACCCTCGCCGTGCACATTTGAATAGTGGGCAAGACCTCGTTGATCACCCGGTTCATGTATGACAGCTTTGACAACACTTACCAGGCACGCTCAGCCCTTGCAAAGCGCAATCCGAGCCCGATTTGCCCGCGCCCCACTCATCTTTGTACGCTTGGACGCAGGCGACCATTGGCATTGACTTTCTTTCCAAAACCATGTACCTGGAGGATCGCACCGTGCGTCTGCAACTTTGGGATACTGCTGGCCAGGAGCGCTTTCGCTCGCTGATCCCCTCTTACATCCGCGACTCGTCGGTGGCCGTCGTTGTCTACGACATTACCAGTGCGTGCGACAAGTTGTGGCCTGGCCTTTGGGATGTGATTGTGGCGGCACATGGCCACCTGATCGGCTCGTGCTTTGCGTTTGTTGGACTGACGCCTGTGCCCCGGCCTGTTGCCCCCCATCTCGGCACAAACTGAACCTTTTTACGAATGCATGTAGACCGCAACAGCTTTCAACAAACCTCGAAATGGATCGATGACGTGCGAGCTGAGCGCGGCTCTGATGTTGTGATTATGCTGGTTGGCAACAAAACTGATCTCAACGATAAGCGGTACGTTGTGTCAACCCTTCTCGTAGTCACGCACCAAACCACTGCGTCACCACATTCTTTTTTTTTCTTCCTCTTCCCCTCTTCCCCTCTTCTCCCCCTCTTTGTGGTTTGGCATGAAAGAGCTGTGTCTGGTGTCATCAGCCGTGCCCATCTTTCTCATCGGACCTACGTGCTTTCCCTTCGTGGCGTAATAGCGAGGTGAGCTTGGAGGAGGGTGAGGCCAAGGCCAAGGAACTCAACGTCATGTTCATCGAGACCAGCGCCAAGGCCGGTCACAATGTGAAGCAGGTATGGTCTGTCTGTCCGTCTCCCAACGCACACATTGCAACTTGTGTTTGGCCTGCACACCCGCATGCGCAAGTATGTCGCTGACCTCTTGGCCGTGTTTCTCTTGATGGTATTGTGTCTCCAGCTGTTCAAGCGCGTCGCTGCGGCACTCCCTGGCATGGAATCAACTGCGGAGGCCAACAAGGAGACTGAAGGTGAGCGTGGCCCGGCCACATCTTCGCAGCCATGCCTTGCAGCGATTACCACTGAACCGCTTTCACTCATTTAATGTCTCATCGACATTTGTGCACAACCGTTGCTGTGATAGCCCCCTTGACGGTGAAGATTACCGAGACATCCGACCAGCAGCCGGCATCTGCCTGCTCGTGCTGAGCACAGCGAGCACACCGCCTTCTTCTCAAGCTCTGCGCTGCATTTTGGTGTGAGCAGCGAATAAAGGTGTTCAACATGATTGAAGACGCGAGAATCCAACTAGGTCTCAATGCATCATTATTCAATGCGTCCTCATGCTGCCTGCACTCGATAACCAAGGCCCGTGTTGACTGCTTTGCGGTTGCGGCTGATCTCGCATCACCAATTTCTTCTTCTTTGACTTTTTTTTACCCTGGACCAAACAGTACTGCAGTTGGCTGCTCTTTCTACGCCGCCTGCCCGGAAGCCAACACTAGCCATTTGTGACCATTTGTTGCCCCTCCTCCCTCCCTCATGTATGGGGGCGAGTACGTGCATAGTCGAGTCGTATTGAGACGCCTCTCTTTGACCTGCTTTTCTATTCTTTTCCTTTGAGATGTTCGCATGGCACGCATCATGTCAATCACCTTGCTGGCAAGATCCCACAAACCAAGTTTTGAGTGCCGATACAAGGGAAGAATCGGTCGATGGGTACAAGAAGGCTTTGATTATAGATTGCTATGAGAGAAGCGCATCTCAAACGGTTTCGCAGCTAAAGTCTAAAAACAGCACAAGCAGCCAAACAAGTGTCATGTGTGGATGACGGTCACCATACCCCGCCACACACGCGTTTCACCTGTTCACCACAAAAGGACAACGCACACTCAGCTTGCATCGACTCGGTCGACAGCTGATACCAACAGGGGCCATCGCCACCACAAAATAGAGACACGGCAGAAAACCATGGGCCTTAAGCTGCCTCCTTGCTCAGCAAGTGAGGCGCAAGAAGGGCTAAGCAGACAACAACCAGGGCACAGAACAAGACTCAGTTCCTGGCGCAGAGCTGAGAGGAAAGCATGACTTCAACAGGGTGAAGACTGCCCTCTGGCTCAGGGAGCAGCCGATCGAGTAGAAGCTGCGTAAGAGAAATCAAAAATTTGCAAACTTGTGTCTGAGGGAAGGCGGGGAAGATTGCCGGAGGAAGGAAGGGCGCCATTGGCGGCGCCTCCCCTGGCAATGGAGCCCGCCCCTGTGGATGGGATGGTGGGCACAGCCGAGATGGGCGCACTGCTGGATACAATAGGAAAGGAGATGTCAAAGGGCAGCTGACCCAAGGGCTCGGGCTTGCTTCGCTTGGTGACAGGGCCATGAAAAGCATCTGGGTCAAAGTCAAAGGCAGAGTGGTCTGGAGGCATGGCCATGGCTGCAGCGAGCATGGCATCATGCTGACGATGGCTTTGGCGGCGCTTATTCTTCAGACGTTGCAGCAGCTGGTCCAGTTTGGGCATAGCCAGGACGGGCGAGGGTGGGCTGGCAGTGGCCGCGGTGGAAGCGGAAGTTGAAGCGGAAGTGGTGGCGGTGCTTGCAGTGCGCGAGGTGGCGGTGCGTGAGGTGGCGGTGGTGCTTGAGGCGGTGGCAGCCGGGGTTGATGATACCGCCGTTGCGGTTGTGACAGGGATGGAGGGAGAGGCGTTGGTGCGGCTGGAGAGTTGAAGGAAGGCAGCATCAAAGAGCGCCTGATGCTGAGGGAGAATCTTGACCGCCGCCATGCCCTCGGGTAACTTAAACATGACAAATGCAAGCCGATGATCACGCAAGTTGAGGGTAAGCCACCGGCGGTCTTCTCCAAGAAACCGTCGGTTGTCAACCTTAGCGTGGTGCGTTGTTCAATCCTTTCTGCGTCACGCTGCGACAAGGATTCGGGGCCCAAAAAAAAAATATCAATGGCCGCGCGGGTGGTCCGGCTGATTGTGGTGGTAGTAATGTGTTTCTGAGACGAAGGACCGCGAGTCCGTTTGAGCAATGTCGAGTACCTTGCGCCCCGATAGCAATAACCAGGTGGGTAAGATGGCAACCAACGTTGCTCACAAACTGTTTGACTTGATATTCGGTGGCACAGGCAAGATGTGATCGAGCACAGGGCCAAACGGCAAGAGGAAGAATGTGGAAGAGGGTCGGGTGAAGGACCAAGAAGCTACGCATTTGCATTCAATCTTCAAATGGTTTTGAATGTCTGCATGCGTCGACCAGAGCAAGCCAAAGCCGCAGAACAACGCAGCAAGTAGCATGGGCAGGACAAGGGCAGCCCCGGACCAGGCGCGGGAGACCGGGGACGTTGCTGTTGTTCCCTTTGATCGTACGCGACAGTTTGGGGAAGACGCTGCGACACCAAGTGCAAGTGAAAAAATGACCCAGATGACTCTTGCTCTCTCTCTCTCTCTCTCTCTCTCTCTCTCTCTCTCTCTCTCTCTCTCTCTCTCTCTCTCTCTCTCTCTCTCTCTCTGTGCTTCTTTCTCATTGTTCGAACAGACCACACACACATCTTTTCCTCTCTCAGCTTTGAATGTCAAAAAAACAAAAGTTTCGGTTTGATTGGCAGAAGCACATCAGGTGGATGATGGTCGTGTGCAGTGCACAACGTCCTTGGCCTCTATCATTCGACCAACGCTGCCAACGACGTGCTGTGCGAGGAGGACGACACCGGTCCTCAGCAACGCGCTATGAATAACCCTCGCACGTTCGTTGGTCAGATCTGATGAGTCATGTCTCGGCCAGCAGAACACTGGAGGTTTGGTGTGTGGGTTCGCATGGGAGTGTTTGACATGGTAATTCAAGGGAATTATCAATGTCAGCGACCGATTGTCAAGGGAGTCACCATGTCTCTGGTATCGAACCTCCAACACCCACTCCTCACGACAACCAGGCACCAAAACGCCACGGGAAAGAATGGTGGAATGGTTTGGTGCAATCGTGGATGGGAATCATGGTGTTTCGTCCCAAGCGAGGTCATCACGTACCCATAAACGGAGAGAGCCCTGTGGGAGATGGGTTGGGATATTGTGCTCACACAATGTGGTGTCATGGGTCTGGCCTTGGCAAAGGTAGGTTCTAAAAATTTAATGATCTCATGACATTCTGTCACAGCCCCACGCAGGACTTCCGTGTAACACACATCCACACTTGACCCTGATTCTCGGGAACTGTACTGGCCCCCTTTTCCCGGACCCACAGAATTGAATCAATGAACGTATAAAAGGACTTCAGGATCTTGCTCTTGCACTCCTCACGCCTTCCTGGCCTTTGAGCTCCAACTTCATGACGGTTGGTTCTTGCGCCCTGAGCCCCCCAAACCAGCTCGATCGGCAGCCTCAACACCGCCGTACCCGGTGCTATTGCATGCCGTGCTGTGTTGTGTGGTGCTGTGTCTGTTGTGCGCCCTTCTTGTTCTTCTTGTTCTTCCTCTCGCACCAGCACCAGCACCAGCACCAGCACCGGCAACACTCGGATGCCATCCGTTCACATCACAAACAAATCTATACATCCGGATGTAATAATACGACAGTCAGTCACGCATTTCTCCTGCTTTCGCTGTTGGGAGCAGACCCCAGTTCCTCACCGCTGCGCACCTTCAGTGAGAATTTCGACCACCTTTTTTCCCCAAACAACAAAGTCGTCCGCCGCACATCATCATTCATGCATTTCGTCGCTCGAGCGCAGCCTCACCTCACCAGATGGACGAGAGCTGGAAGATGCGCCGCCCCCAACCTGCCAATCCAAGGCCAGGATGACAGCGCCCCAACTCACTGCTCGCTGCTCACGTGGACTTTGCATGTGCTTGTCCAGAAGCCGCGACCCCACCTTTCTAGGCCATATGAATGACCCTGGCCAAAGCAGTGGCAACAGTCAAGGACTCGTTCAAACTTGATAATCCCCAACAGATACTTTCCCCAAAACATCCTCCAACACACAGTAAAGCCTTCAAGCACCACGTTGGCGTAGGCAGAGCCAAACGCAGGCGCAAAGCAGCTGGGTCCTGGTGTCTCAAAAGTCAACTTGGTCTCCTGTCCCCCATAGGCATACACGGACGGAGAGATGCTGGAGCAGCATAGAGGGCGTATCGCATGACAACCGCCAACAACAATCAGCACAGTGCGAAATGCACAATTGCCCACGACACGCAAGACATTTTTAGCCCCTCCCAAGCCGAGCCTTTGCAATCGTATATGCGGTTGGCGCCTATTCGCTGTCAGGAGCCTGAAGCGTCACAATCGGCACACCCTCGCTCACCAAGCTCCCCGCCCCCGAACCGGTCACCGACTCGACCACGCCATCAAACGGAGCCCGCAGTACCAGCTGAGAGCGCAAGTCACAAACGCAACACAGCCACATGTGAGGTTTGAGTGTGAACCAAGCTCTACTCCCAACCATCGCTCGCTCTACAATTATTTTGACGCAAATCCTCAAAGACAACGCCGCCGCCTTATCCCAGTACAAGAGGGGAGGCGACGATACACACCTCCATCTTCATGGCCTCCATGACCGCCAACGTCTGCCCAGCCTTGACCGTCTGTCCAGCCTCGACCATCACCTGGCGTTGGCCCCAAACATGAGCGTACGGTAACACACAATCCAAACCCCGCCAAGTCAGAGCAAGAACGGCGGCACAATGCTGCCAGCAACACGCTCACCTTGGTGATGGTACCAGTCATGGGCGCCGTCACTACATTATCAGCCACTGCATCCGCACCCTGTCGAGGCGAACAGAAGCGAGAACACCGTCCTCTTGAGTTGGCTGACAACAACTGGCCACGCTCTCATTCACTTGGATGTTTGTCATTCACGCCAGATTTCCAACCCTCCCAGGCAGGGCCCCAAAAGGCAACCGAACCGAAGGTCCAACAAAGTAGATTCGTACCGCTGAAAGAAAGTCGGGCTTGCTGACCTCCAACTCGAAGTGTGATCCATCAGCAAAGAGATGCAGCTTGTCCTCCAAGCGCACGGCCCGCACGTGGCTACGCTGACCGTCCACAGCAACAGCAAACTCATGCGGATCCTGCTCCGATGGCTCCAGCTCAATCACGGCCGCCGTGTCGGCACCCTCCTCGCTCACCAAAAATGAGCCATCCGCACCCAAACCCACTTCCAAAGCCAAAGCTAGTTGACCAACGCCGCGCACAATCCGTGTGCATGAACGACAAGCCACCAAAGGAAAGTAAAAGTTCGGTCAAACTTGGAAAAATAACAAGCCATGCATGCAAGAAGCTGCCACGTGCCCAGGTCCTGCGAGCTTTAACAACAAGCAAAGACACGTACCCTCCTCGCCAAACGTCATCGAGACTGGCATCATCTGGGCAGCTTGTAGTTGAAAGCCATCCATGATCGACCACGGCGAGGCATCTGCGCTCACGCCAACAGCAAAGACGCACGCCAAGCCCATGGTATGAGTTCCGCCACAAACAGAGAGAACGAGAAGAACATCTGTACTGTGGCAGCACTCAAGACGTGCAGCCTCGATCAAACCAGGAACCCGTGATTGTACGCCGCCGCCACATACCGTTGCCGGCGGCGCGCAGGAAGGGCTCCGTGACAATATCAAAGTAGCGCACAAGGGCACCGGCGACACGTCGCACAACTGCCGGCACAGGCTCGGCTGCCGGCAACAGCGAATCGTGGTGATCCTGAATAAAGTCCGTGGAAACGTCACCTGCAAAATTTATCACTGCGTCAGAACAAGATGGCATCTGCTGGGCAGTGGGCAACGGCAAAACCCCCTGAACTCACCCTGCTTGAAGCTGGGATGGCGAGCGCAACGCTGCAGGAAGGAAATGTTGGTGGCGAGTCCTGCAATCTAATGGACCCAAATTGAAAGGGGAAAAAAAAGGGCATGTTGCTCAATGAATGATTGCCGGCAACCAGGTGGGCAAGCGCTTTCAGCCTTTTCTGTTCTGAGCAACCCAACAATCCCGCCTCTCAAAGCTCATCCAACATCGCCATGGAACTGACGTTGTACTGCTCCAGGCAACGGCTCAGCTTGCTCAGTGCCTTGTCACGACTCTCACCCCACACCACCAGCTTGGCGATCATGGGATCGTAGTGGACCGTCACCTCGTCGCCCTCTTCGACGCCGGTTTCAATGCGAACCTCCGCAGTAGCCTCGGGCGTGCGCACGAAGGAAAGTGGACCCGATCCCGGCAAAAAGTTGCTGTCAAGCAACATCAAATCAATAGTGAGGGACCATATCCAAGACAAGCGCAGGACAACCACAAATCAACCTGCAGCCAGCAAGGCGAATCGCTGGCCCACTGCTTCACCCTGCTTTACGCATGTCAGCACTGACCCGGCTGGATTCTCTGCATAGATACGAGCTTCAAAGGCATGGCCGACCAAGGGCACCTGGTCCTGCGTCAGGGGCAAGGGAAAACCTGGCAGACAATCACGCGCGCATCATGCAGTCAGTGGAGTTTGGCTGTGGGCACTCGCTCACGAAAATGGCTGTAGGCACTCGCTCACAAAAAGCGACAGCTGCACTCTCTCCACGTGTAACCCCATTTTGCCAGCCCAGCCACGCAGGCAAACCAACCGGAAGCGACGCGCAACTGCCACTCCACCAAGTCCGTTTGCGTCACCATTTCAGTCACGGGATGCTCAACCTACACGCGACCAAGCGGCAATCAGTGTGATCAAAGCGTGCCAACTCGCCAGGACATCGCTGGTTGTCTGGCACTCGCAGCTCAGGCTCCATTGCTCGCGTGTGGAAGAAGTCCGTGCCGCACCTGCAGGCGAGTGTTCATTTCCATAAAGAAGAACTCTTGCGTCACAGTGTCCATGATAAACTCGACAGTGCCCGCACCCTCGTAGCCTACGGCCAGGGCGGCGCGCACTGCTGCCTCACCCATGGCTTGGCGAGTCTCTGGTCGCAATCCAGGCTGACTCATGCCAACGTGGCGCCAAAAAAAGCAGGGGTGCATCATGAGGAAATGCGCTGCAGAGAAAAATAAAAATCGAAATCGACGACCAAACGCGCTCGAGCGGCGCTGCGCAGCCTACCGCAGGAGCCTCCTCAATGACTTTCTGGTGGCGGCGCTGGAGCGAGCAGTCGCGCTCAAACAAATGAACCGCGTTGCCGTGCTGATCGGCGAAAACCTAAGCAGCCAAGATAATTCAGACACGGCCACACCCCCCCCAGCACGGCCTCCGCGATGGATGCCCTCCTTCAAGACCATCGTGAAACTTACCTGAACTTCAACGTGGCGAGGGCGTTGAACATAGCGCTCAATCAAAACGCGATCGTCACCGAAATGCTTGCGTGCCTCAGCCTGTACGAATCGGTACGAGAAGGGATCGGCAACGACAATGTGTGCGCACGCGCACACATTGGAAACACAAAGGATTCATTGAGTTGGTTAGCAAGACATATTATTCAGCCCAAACTGACAGTACGGGTGGGTAGGAGAATCGGGGACGAAATAACATGCCTGCGCCATGTCCAAACTCTCTGCAAAGTCTGCCTCGTTCATGACAACACGCATGCCCTTGCCACCACCGCCTTTGACGGCCTTGATCAACACAGGAAAGCCCACTTCGCGAGCCTGTTGCAGCAGGAATTCAGGATCTTGATTTTCACCGTGGTAGCCTAATAGTTCCGCCCATGCACGCACACACACGCACACAAATAAAGAGAGTGAAGAGGAAAGATTGTGAGACATGACTCAGCGTTGGCTCAGCGTTGGCTCACAGACAGCAGGAATGCACAGACCTGGAACAACCGGCACGCCAGATGGAGCCATAATGTTTTTGGATTCACTACAACACCGCGGTTCGTTGCACAGATGGAAAAGGAAATGAGTGTTGCACATCAGCAAAAAAGAAAATCAGCGTCGGAGATGGACTAGATCAGGACAAAGCAGAGATAAGCTCAAGCGCGCCGACCTCTTTGAGCCCATCGACTCGATGGCAGAGGCAGGTGGACCGATGAAGATGAGGCCCTAGACCATCAAGACAAATGAACAAGGATTCAGGTCGACCGACAGGATATTGGTCAGCGGCCCGGATGATCAAGCTTGGGCGCAAAGCACGCGTGTGGGTGGAAAAAACTGAGGAGGTACAAGGCACGGTGCGAGGGGACGATGGTGCTTTTCGAGTCGCCACACCTCTTCCTTGCACAGATTGGCAAAGGCTGCATTCTCGGACAGAAAGCCATAGCCGGGGTGAATGGCCTAGTTGGTCACCAACCCCCAACAATGCGTGAGGTACTGGCGAAAAGCTGTGCGCATGAGGTTGGAAGCGTGTATTTATACAAGCGGCAATTAAAACTTCACACCTTGGCGCCGGTCGCCTTGGCAGCCGCAATGATACGCTCCATGCGCAGATAGGATTCGGATGAAGGAGCCGGCCCGATAGGTACAGCTTCATCAGCAAGTTTGACGTGCATGCTGTTAGCATCGGCATCGCTATAGACGGCAACACTCTTGACGCCGAGGCGTTGGGCCGTCTGCATGACACGAACAGCAATCTCGCCACGGTTGGCAATCAACACCCTATGATCCATGTCACAGGCCGGTTCCAGCGAGAAGTAGACATGAGACGGTAACAGTTTGGAGAGCAAAAAGAACACCAAACCAGCAAAAGTGGGCAGTGAACGCACTTATCGATCCATTGCGGTGGCTCGGTACGCACGGCAAGGCGCATTGACGTGCTCAGGGCGCGCACCCCCATGGGCAGGCTGGGAAAAAACACATGATCAGTCGCAGGACATGAGTTGATCCATCACCGAGAGAGAGAAAACATGAGGTGCAACCCAACTCACCGCAGACTGCGTTGCCACATGGCCAGGGCCATGGCTCAAATTCTATGCCCTGGTGGTGGGACTGAGCTAAACAGAGAAGAGCGCCGGGTGAGACTTGTGGGTGAGCCATGCTGGCACGAGAATTCGCTTGACTGTCTGACTGGTATAAAATGCAAGACCGTGTGATAGCTGAGCCCTTTGGTAGCTTGAGCTTGGTGTAGCTACCCATCACAAGCAGGTGGTCCCGGGTGCCACGAGCTGCAAATGACGTACACTCAGACCCGATGATGGGAAGAGGACGGAAGGCTCGTCCGGTGACACGAGCGACCACTTGAAGCTGGAAGAAATAAGTTTCCGACCAAGCGCCACATGTGTGAGCCAACATACCGAGCACTGCATCCGCACTCAAGCGCCAAAGACCAAAGCAGACAAACACAAACGAGTGACCAAGCACCACGGGACGGGACGGGCACCAGTACCAGAGCAGCGGCAGCAGCAGCAGCGAGCAGACCCTCTCGTCCGCAATCAGAAGAAGAAGAAGAAAAAGTGACAGAGAGAGAGAGAGAGAGAGAGAGAGAGAGGTGAACACGCCATTGAGCGAGAGCAGCAGAGAGAGAGCAATATATGTGATGTTAGCTCAGAGAGTTGGATGCTCGCTGGTGGTAAACAAGGCTTAAACCCATAGGGTAATAGAGATATGAGTGAATTCTGGTCTCTCATCAGAGACCATCTCACCAATTCCCAGGTTACGGCATCTCGTGGCGGTTGCGACATGAAAGGTCGGGTATATCAATTTTAAGAAGTATATCTTCATTTTATCTCAAAAGCAACAGATTTGTTGATGTTTTTCTCTCTCTCGCTCACGATACGAGAAGACGACGCGGTTCATGCGCAGGGATCGGCCTGCCACGCTCGCAAAGGGCTTTCCAAGCGTTGGGAGGGAAGGAGGGGGGGCTTGAAAGTGTTGTTGCTCTTCAGTTCCAGGGATCAACATCTTTCCTGAAGCACACTGATTCGGCTCTCGACACCATGGCCATGACTGCTCTCATACCGCGAGAGATTCGACTTTTGATGCTGTCACTGTTGCTTTGGTCTTTTTGGCCGTTTGGCCGGGCATCCAGTCATGCAATGATTGACTTGCCACCGCTGGTCAACCTGACAACGGAGCACCTTGTTGATCCCATGGTCATTGACGTGCCGCGCCCGCGCTTCGCCTGGCGCTTCCCGAATGCCGACACAGTAGCGCCCAACACCTACCCCACTGCCACGCGCCTTGTGGTCACGGACAAGGACGACCAGACCGTCATCTGGGACACCCAGCAACAGGTACTGATGAGAAGACTGCCAGCGCCCCCTCTCACCAGCCTGCCAACACTGTCTGATGAGAGTGGACTTGTATGCAATCCGCGCGTGCATGCAGAAGTACAATGGCAGCGTCATTACGCGCTATGATGGCCCCGCGCTACAGCCACTGCATGCCTACTCTTGGCAAGCCACTTGGTGGGCCAACACGTCGTCGACCGTAAGACCAACTGCGGCCGTTTTTGCTTCTGCTGTTGCTTTTGCTTTTGTGGCCTGCTGCAGCTAATCTCGAGCATCAGCCCTTGCCGCTGTTGACTGGCCCCTCATGGTTGCTGTGCTCTATAGGCGTCATCACCGCCAAGCACACCAGCCTCATTTGTCATGGGACCCCGTGTGCCCTCCGACTGGCACGGTGCACAATGGCTTGGCAATGAAAACGCCACGCTGCTGCGAACCACCTTGGTCGTCAATGCCACGAGCATCCGTCGTGCCACCCTCTTCATCTCAAGTCCCGGCTGCTACCTTTTGGACGTCAATGGACATGCGCTTGGGGATCGCCGAGCCCAGTGTCCTTGGCTTGAGTACGAAAAACGTGTGTTTTACGAGGCCCTTGATCTGACAAGCGTTTTACAGCCGGCGGCCTCCAATGCGCTGGCCATAACCTTGGGGCACGGCTTTTATGCCGCAATCGACAAAGGCCCGCCGCTTGTGAAAACCTTGGTTCGTTGTCACAATTTGGCTGTCGTTTGCCGCTGCCTCTATTCATTTCAAAGGGTGAAAAAACAAATCAGAGGGAATCGCGGTATCCGCTCGGCTCGTGCTCACGTTGCGCTGCAACGCATGTGTGCCCTGTGCAATCCCAGCTCGTGGTTGTGGATCAGAAGGGCCAGTACAGCATCTATCCCAGCTTGGCTGCTCACTGGCAAGCTACAACCTCGCATTATGTGCAAGACGATGTGTGGAATGGTGTGGTCATGGACTTTGCTGACTTCCAGCCCAATGTATCGTTCCCTGACTACCAGCCAGATGCGCGCTGGGCTCAGGCTGTGGCCCGAACTGATACACCGGATGCCTACGGTGTCACCCTGCGAGCCATGAACATGCCCCCCATCATCATCGAGGAAGAACGTGCTCCTGTCAATGTATCTCACTTGCGCAATGGACACCATGTCATTGACTTTGGTGCCAATATTGTCGGCGTCACGCGCATCCACACAACCCTGCCGCCTGGGGCGACGCTCTGCTTGGTACACGGTGAGACCCTCAACCCCGATGGCTCCGTCAATAACACGTACAGCGGCAAGCCCAGCATTCAGGTCGACGTCATAAAGGGTGCTTCCGGCATGCCCGCCGACATTCTCCCGGCATTCACGTGGCATGGCTTTCAGTACGTGGAGCTTAACGTCACGAACTGGCCAGCCTTTGACCCAAGCAACATCCACAACTTGGTGTCCGCTGTGTACAGTCACACAGACATCACACCTACCGGTAAGCTGTAGTCGCTCCTGGCCTCTGAGCCATGAAGCCCAAGTTCGCAGGGGTCCGGATATGCTTGCACGTCACGTACCATCGTATTCCTCATCCCTGGGCATCGGATGCTGGATGCTAGCCACGCTCAGCTACGCTTCCAGTACCCCGGAGGGTTTGTTGGTGGGTCAGATCAATGATATGATCCTCCGCACGCAGAAGAATAATATGGCCACCGCCCTACCGACCGACTGGTACGTGTCACCTGCCCCGACCCTGAGGCCTTTGTGGTGCCGCTTCCCCTGTCGGAACATTGGGATTGACAATTTTGCCGTGCTGAAACGATGTTTGGTTATTGGCAGCCCCACACGCGAGAAGCATGGATGGCTAGGGGATGCTCTCACCACCGCCCCAGAGGCCATGCTCAGCTTTGATACGCAAGCCCTGCACGAACAATTCCTACGCTCCATTGCTGACGCGCAACTGCCTTCTGGCGACGTCCCAGGGGTCGTGCCCTCTACCAACAACGGTGCGCTGTCGTGGCTCGAGGCGTTGCTCGAACCTGTTTGCAGCTGCTGCATGTGACATTGATGACGCTCTTCTCTCAGCCTGAAGTCTTGCGTACTCGTGCATGCTCTTTTGTACGCTCAGTCGGAGAAACTGCCGCAAGCAAGGCCACGGACATTAGCTGGTCTGCGGCCTACGTCCTGATTGCCGACTTCGTCTACCAGATGTATGGTGACTTGACAATTGCAGCCGAGCTGTATGATTCGCTTCATGCTTATCTCAACAACCTCAATGCTCTGGCCACAACGGAGCCAGGTGGTCTGGCCGACTTTTTTACCTGGGGCGACTGGTGCCCCTTTCAGGTTGGACATTGTTGACTGCGTTGAGTGTTGTGCGTGGCTGTGTGGGACGATCGATGGAGGCTACTGGCCGCATACCGCCAATCTCTCGATGACAATGTTGCACCGAAGTGGCTGATTAACGTTTTTTTTTTCAGGCTCGGGCTCTGGCGACGCCTGCCACGGGCCCGGAGCTCGCCGCGTTCAATTGGATTCTCTCTCTGGACGCAATGGCGCGTCTCTCGTCGGTATGTTTTTGTGTGGAGTGGCTTGTGCTCGGTCATCTGCCAAAGTGATACGGGTTCGATCGTTTTGCTTCTACCTCATGTTTGGTTCTTTGGTCGCTCTTGCCCCTGCCGTTGATGTTGTTCTTGTGTGGTGATCAGGCTCTGGGCGAGAGTGGTAACGCCTCGGCTTACGCGGCTTTGGCGTCTCGCGCCCGTGGTGCCTTTCATGCTCGCTTTTTCAATGCCTCGGCGGGCTTGTACAATGGTGGGTATGACATGGACGCACAGACACTGACTGCAGCCCCGCTGGCACTTGGCGCCACCATTCCTACTGCGTTGCATGCCTCGGTGGTCGAAAGCTACGTGAGCAACGTTGTGGATACTTTTGGTACGACCTGTGTCTCAAAGAGGGCTTCTCGCTTCGAGGCTTGCTGTGACGCTAACGCACCTGCTGGGCCTGGCATCTGAAACCTCGCAGACGGACATCTGACTTACGGTAGCGTCGGGGCATCCCATGTGATGCAGACACTTGCCGATCAAGGTCACTACGATGTGGCCTGGCGCATGCTAACCAAGGTATGTGGCCGTGGTCGTGAACCCGGAACCGAAAGCAGCAATACAATAGCAACTTTTGCCTTTCTTGTTATACAAGGTCGCCGACGAATTCCATCTCCGCGCAAGGCTTGCGGCTTGTTTTGTTTTTGTTTTTGTTTGCTTTAGTCAACAAATCACTTGTTGTTGCAGACAACGTATCCATCCTTCGGATGGTGGGTGGGCCAAGGTGCTACAACCTGTTGGGAGAATTGGTCCGGCCAGGCAGACGCTTCGCATCCGCCTCAGCCTACAGTATGCGATTGACACGGCTGTTGGTGGATTGATGGGTGTCTTGTGCACACCCGACTGCCTCGTGCGTGTTGTGTTATAGCATGGGCACATTTTCTTGTGCGGTGGTGCACTTGATTTCCAATATCGCTATACCATGGGTACGACTGTCCTGCTGATTCTCGCCATGCAAAATTGGTATCAAGCGATTGCATCTGGTGTGTTTAGAGATTTGAGCGACTGGGCTCATGTGATTCCTGATTCCGCTTGTAGGATTGCAGCCGTCCGAGCCTGGCTTTGCCGCGTTCACAGTTAAGCCTTTGCTTGCCGGCAACCTGACCGAGGCCAGGTTGCAGTTTACCAGCCGCTATGGGCTCTTGACCGTGGAGTGGGTCGTGCAAGCAGGAGGTTCGTGCGGTTTATGACTATGCAGGTGCTGAACGGTGGTGCCTCCCCTCATGCCTGACCCTGTACAATGCGTACATGATAGCGGCCGAGGTTTCGGTCCTGGTGCCCGTGGGTACCACCGCCACCGTGTGTGCCCCACATGTTGTGAACCGTCCACCTGCTCGTGTGTATGGACCAGCTGGCGATCTCGCACCCGGCGAAACTTGTGTGACAGCGGGGAGTGGTCACATTCGCTTGGTCTCCGTCTTTGCCTAGAGATGCGATGCATGCCAGCTTCTGGCAGGCTTCATCACGAGTGTATGCCTGAGTGTGCCTCCTTGTGCCGTGCATCATCGTGTGTGTGCGCGCGCACCCTATCGTGCTGTCGTGTATTGAAAACGTGTGTGCTGTAAATGACTGTATGGCTATGAGCCGTGTGCTACTCCCCAGCTGGCGGGTTGAATTGACCTCGTACCATTGCACCATTGGTGCCGCATTTTTGAAATGACCTCTTTTGGTCCATGTAGCTATGAAGCAGTGTCGAATAGCATCAAAATACACGTATCGTATCAAACCTATTTTTGTTCAGGCTGTCTGTTCAACAATATTGCAAACTCAAAATTTACGTTGTGAATTGGGTCTGCAGCCCAGACACACCCGATGAACCACTCACACACCACAACAGCTTGCTGGTCAAGCGCAGGGAGTCGCGTACAACTACCAAGTCCACACGCGCAATCACAAACACATATTCACACGGACGTGTGTAGTCATAGTGTAAATTATTCGAAATATCCGAAAAATTAAGAGGAAATTATCGACAAGATGACAGAAGCTCGCCAATCAAGTACGAGACGCGCGCGGCGCTGAGTCGTCATGCAACAACGGGCAAAGACACAACCAAGAGTCTTTACTTGCGTCCCGTGACCATGATGATGTGGTAACCAAACTTGGTCTTGACCGGAGGATCCGTGAAAATGACGGGGCCCGAAGGCTTGGTAATCTGTCAAAGGCCACCAGCGCAGCAACACGGCACGCCGTCACAACTCAATGGCAGTAGGACAGGCATCACACTAAGCAAAGTCCAGCTGCCAAGCTACCCAGGACGCACCGGCATTGAAAAGGCTGTATCTTGGAAGGGACCCACCATGCCACCACGGGTCATCCAACCCAAGTTACCCTAACCGAGGACAACACGACCCATGCGGAGTGACCAGAGCAAGAGTACAGGCATACAACACTCAGAGGTACAGAATCCACGGGCGCAAAGCCGGTCATGGTGGAAACGGAGGCCAGTGCTGGCCGCGCATGCAAAGATTGCGAAACATACACCCGAGCGCGCCTTGTCCTCACTAAACTCCATGGCCACCTGCCACGGCGAGCAAGCAGAGGCAAGGATGCCCAAGCAGATGGCGCAACACGAACAACAGGGGTAAGTCAACCAACTATGTGCAGGCACTCGCACGCACAGCCTGGTTGTCAGGTCTTGGCCAGGCCGCACCTGTGTCCAGACACCCAGTCCTGACTGAGGCTTGCCATCCTCGGGCTTGTAGGCAGCCCGAAGCTTCTCCAACGCTTGCATACACTTGCCGTGCTTCTCGCAGAGAATGTGGCTGGGTTGAGGTATCGCAGAACGATGCATGTTAGGAACGGCGTCAGGCGCAGCAGAGGAGCATGAAGAAAGGGCATGGTTCATCGTACCGCACTTCGACAGCCGTGCCTGAGCCGGGCTTGAGGCCGCCATCATCACCACCTATCAGCCGGAAATTGCACCAGTCGCCGGTTACCAGTAGATGCACAAACAAGGCTCGGTCGTAAAGGCCGCCAACTCTCATCGCACATGCGTCGTGCGGAATCGCGAGCAAGCCCGCTCTTCTTACCGCTGGCCGCACCACCCTTGCTCTTGCCCTTGCCTACAGACCACATACAAAAAGCAGTGAGTGGCAGAGCCCATACCACAGAGGAAGAAGCCAGCCAACATGGCAGTACGGGCCCAATACTGCTTTGACCGTTATACCTTTTGGCATCTTGATTGTTGAATGGATGGATCTAGTCGTGCCCCGGCGCGCTCTTGAAAAGCTGCAAAACGACACACACAAAGAAAAGCAGACGATCAAATCCGATCAATTTTTGACCCTTTTATTTTATATGTAAAAGTTGAGAGACAGTGCTACAAGCTGCTCCTATAGCTCAGTTGGCAGAGCGTTGGTCTCATAATCCAGAGGTCGCAAGTTCGAGCCTTGCTGGGAGCATGACGATCTTTTTTTGCTCGCTCGCTTCTTGTTTGCTTGTTTTTTTTTGCTCGCTCCTTGTTCGCTCAATGGCGATGCCAAATTTTGCTTCGTCGGCGACGAGCCACCGCCCTCTATTCTATGGTCGAGCATGAAGAGTTTCAATTCATGATTGTGGTGGGATTGCCATCACTTGTTTCTTTGCAGAGAAGATAGAATGAAGGTCACTGGATCAAAGCCATTTTCATACAATAATTTTCTACACACTGTCACAGCTGCTCCTATAGCTCAGTTGGCAGAGCGTTGGTCTCATAATCCAGAGGTCGCAAGTTCGAGCCTTGCTGGGAGCATGACGATTCTTTTTACCCACAACGACGATTTTGGTCGCATTGTTTTTGGTCGAAGATGTCAGACTTTCAAGCAATTCCACTATAGCGGGTTAGATGAGTCACGAACTTTTTACGGGGTGAGAATATCGGATTTTCTGCAGTAAATTCACTGCAGAATCCCATCAACACCTCCAGCACCTTGCTTTTCTCTGACATTGGACCAATTTGGTGCAAGCCGAAAGTTTTACACTTACACTGGCATCTCAAAATGCACCACACACGATTTTTGTGCAAATGTTCCACGTTGCGAATTCAGTGAATGTCATCAGCGCATCTAGCATGATGCGGAACGCGGCCAATGGCAAGCCCGTCGTTCTGCACTCACTTTCAATGCATACGCAGAGCCATGATGCGGAGCAGGCTGTCTCACAGCTGACTCGACGGAAAAAACAAAACAAAAAAGAACAAGCAACAGGTGTAAAAGCAGCAAGTCAAAAAGAATGCTCAGGCGCTTACGAGAATTGAACTCGTGACCTTTGGTTTACAAGACCAACGCTCTACCACTAAGCTAAAGCGCCTTAACGTGTGAATACGGCAAAGAAAAGTATTTATATAAAGTAGCAAGACCATTTTTTAAAAGGACAGTCAGTGGTTTTCAAACTGGAGTTTGATTGTGTGTATGCCTCGCATTGGTGCTGCTGGCTTGATCTTTTGTCCAGCAGGGTCTGAGCGTTGAGCCATGGCCGACACCAAGCCCGCCCCGGTCGATTCGGCAAAGGCAGATAATGCTACTGAAGCGGCGGCGCACACGCAGTCGAGTGCTGAGCGCCTGCTCAGTACCGTCAGTCAGTATGCCAACGCGGAGTTTGAAGGTGTGCCATGTCGTGCTGGCCAATTTGTTTTTTTCCTGTGGTTGTAGCTGTTGAATGCTTGGCTATCGCCAGGGAGGTGTGGCAACTTTGTTGAGAGGCGATTGAACGCGTTCCCTTCGTCTTCTAGGTACGCGCTCGGAATATGCGCTTCTGACCAAATTAAACAACGCGGCAGCCGGGGAATACGGCGAATGGACCGAAAAGCTGGCACATGCTAACGACAGTGCCCTGCAACTTCAGCAAACATGTGCGTTTGGAACGTAGCAGCGGTCCTTCGCAAACACTTGACTTTGACATGATCCATGGGTCATCACGCCAACACGCCGGCACACGGTCTGTCCAAAGTGTACTCACTCGCGCTCAACTTGATGCTGTAGACGAGGAAGTACAACCAGCCTTGCAACTCATTGACAACTTGGCCACATCGGTCGAAACCTTGTTGGGCACGGCACAACAGTTGGACGAGTTTTCTCGAGAGCTCGGTATGTGTCAGGCTCGATTTCGATGATAGATTCGACACTTCCAACAATTGTCGTCAATGCATGGCTCGAGGGGAGGCTTACTCTCACGTGTCCATGGCACTCGTGGTGGCTCGCAGAGGCACGTCTTCGTCAGGCTACTCGTGCCAAAAATTAGCTTTTGATTGTTGATAGAAGGCCCTTGTTAGACCTGGCCTTTTGCGTATGGTGTTTATCGTCCTCGCCCGTCGTTCGGTGGACAAACTTGAGCGGCCGTGCGTCCGGGCTAGTGCGTCTGAGCGATACTTTCAGCGTTTAGCTTGACGCAGTTAAAATTGAATTTTATCCATACAGTGCCCACCAGCACGCGCGTACGCGGCAGCCACAAGCCAGTCGGCAACGCTAAGTATCAGGCTTCTTGAGTGGCCTCATGCTCCGCATCACGACGCGCCTCGCGTTCCAGGGCGCGTTTGCGGGCCTCTACGATATCCAGATCCATCAAGCAATCATCAGCGGTCTGCATGCCTGCACCTCCCGGTGCGAGCTGGGCACTATGTCATACGACCAGCGACTCACGACTATAGGCGTCGGGGTGCTGAGCTTGCAGTGCATCTCGAACCACACTGTTGAATTCATGGTTGATCAAAGGCAGTGAATCGACGTAGTAGAGAGGTGAAGGACTGGCATAGTGGCAAGCGGGCCGTTCAAAGAGAGGCCGGTCGCCGTTCGTGTATGGAGACTTGGTAGAACTTACCGAAGTCGCTGAAACAGGCCCATGAGGGCGATATGAGCTTCCTTGAGGGTATGTGTGTGCTGAACCAGAGCAATCTGCTGATGTTGATAGCGAGCACGGGCCGAGCTCAGCTGCGCCTCGATGTCCGAGCGCTCTTGTTCCAGCTCCCCCAGTCTACAGCGAGCAATGCGCCAGTGAGACATCTGCTGAGACTGCTAAGCAAAGCTCATCCTCAGGGTTGATGGGCGTCATGCCCTAGGCGGCCAGTGGGCCGCATGAAGCAGGTGTGCAGGCGGGGCGCGCGTTCGTACATTTCCTGCTGCACGGTCAAGACGTCCCGCGCGTCTCCACTGTGAACCAATTTTCGCATGGGCTCGGCCATCTTGGTGTGGTGGTCCAATGATGCAAACCAACGCCCCAAATCAGTGCTGGTGATGTCTTGCAGCAGCACTCACGCCATTGCGCACCCCCAACATCCAGCGCAAACGCCCTCTTCAAACGCCTTTCGACTGCGAGCGAGACACGATCGGCAAAAGCGCGAGAGAGAGAGAGAGAGAAAAGTGAGAGAGAAAGAGAGAGAAGAATCAAGTCAGAAAAGTCAGAAAAAAACGACTTACACCACCACCACAACAATGTTTTGTGTCAAAAAAAAAAAAACGGTGTTAGTTGATCAGACGATCAGCAGCTGCAGAGCACGTTTGGGTGTGTGTGTGTGTGTGTGTGTGTGTGTGAGGAGGGGGTGCTGCTGATTTGGTTGTAGAAGGACGAACAGGCGGTGGAGACGAGGGTAGGATCTGGTCATGGTTGAGAGGATGGGTGTGCTGGGCTTCGGCATGGCCCGGCTTCTGCTGGGGATGCTGGTCGGGATCAGTGGCGCTGCGTGGGCCGACACGACGCCTCGCTCCACGCACTGTCAAGGAGGCATCAATTACCCGGGAAACGATCTGCCCAACATGCCTGTCCCACTCGTTGCCGCCAGTACGTATGCCGATCACCGTTCCACTTCAGCTTGCCCGCGCGATCGTTTCGTACTGGCTCTGCTGACAACTCACCGGCTTAGATCCCGAGCTGTGTTACAACTTGTGTCAGAACACCAGTGGCTGCAATGGCTTTGTCTACACGGCCCCAGCCTGGCCTAACCCGCAGCACGCCACCTGCTCGTACGTCAGCCCGATTGCATTGAAGCAACGTGCTCAAACAGGCCTTGCTGGCATGCTCCAGGCCCCTTCTCCGCACCTCATCGTGGCCTCAACCTACCAAACGCGCTGTAGCTTTGCCAATGGCTGTTGCTGGCTCAAAAGCAAACTTGGTCAGCTGGAGCAGAATGCGGTCACCTGTGCTTCCAGCCCTACACCGCAGCCACATCCCGAGCCGCGCCCCATCACTCCAGCTCCTGCCAATGCCAAGAACATTCTGTCCGTTGACCCCTTTTTGCTAGCTGAGGCTGCGGTCTTGATCCCTCTAGCTAGTGCCCATGCTCATGTCATCGTCCCTCCTGCTCGTTGGCCCAACAATGCCTTTTTAGTTACATCCTCGTCGACGATTTGCGCCCTGAGCTGCCAGGCCCATATGGACAAGACTACGTGCACGCCCCAAACTTGGGCAAGCTCATGGCCACTGGCACCACTTTCCGACGGGCGTATTGTCAGCAAGCCGTCTGCTCGTGCGTTTGGTTGACCTTCATCTCCCCCGCATTCGCTGCTTGAAAATACCACCTATTACACGTAGCTCACACTGTCTCGGACTACCGGCTGCCGCCTTGCCCTGCTCATGCTAACAGGCCCAGCCGCATGTCTTTCCTGGTACGTTTATCGCTGGCCACCGCACTCCATTGGTACTCGAAAATCACGGCTGATCCCTCATCTGCGCTGTTTTTCACCCCTTTAAACTGCAGACTGGCCGGTCAGTATTTTCAGCGGCCCATCTCTTTGCTTGCTTGGCTTGGCACACGAAGCTTTTTCTCTTTGGATTTGCTCACCACCTAGACTGGTGCCTTGGTCGAGACTCACTCTGCGCCGAGTTCTCATTCCCCTCTGCGTACACGGGGCTCTGTTGTTGACCGTGATCAATTTCTTTTTCAGACGCCCGGACCACACACGTGCCTACAACTTTATCAACCACTGTTCGTGCCTTATAACAGGACCTGATTGTCCGAGTTGCGCAGTTGCACATCCGCTTGGTACCCTGTGTGGTGCCCCTCTCAATTTCCTCCTTGGTGCGGCTGACTCAACCTCTGTAGTTCGTCAAGCAGATTGCGGCCTGGTCGACAATCAGGTCAACTATCAGGGCAAAGTGCTTCGGTCCCTCGCCATTAGCGACCACCAAGGTGTGTCATGCACCATGGCTCGCTCCGTTTGAGCGCGGTGAGCTTTCACGGCACGGCAACGCCAACCACCAATATAGGGGGCTCGGGGCAATGCTGCACCAGCTGTACCATTGAAGTTCAATGTGTGGCGTGGTCATATGATGTCAGCAAGGTGAAAATCAACGGCAGCAGCTGAAATCGACTTCGTCTGAGCCGCTCCGGGCCCATCAAGCGTCTGGTCGTTTCCTACTGAACTTTGCTTCCCCCTTTCACATCCAGGGCAATTGCAGCTTGCTGACCGACGTTCTGGGACGGGGTCAAGATGGCGCGTTCATCTCAGGTATGCATGAGCGACCTTCGTACCCCTGACCAGAAGAATGGAGTTGCTGTTGTCTCTTGATGAACTCAGTGTTGGCTGGGTTGGCCTTGTTCGACTGTTTAATCACTATCACAGCCATCAGCGTTGCTCACAGTCACAGTGTTGATCTCGGGGTATTTGTGTAGGCATGTCAGGTAGCTGGACGACAGCAAACTGGACCTCACACCCGCAACACTTTTATCTGAACGGTTACTTGACTGCGAGTGCGTGTTGAAAGCGCACCCTGACGTACCCGGGATGCCCCCTCCCGTCCCCATCTGGTGTTCTTGTTGATGACTGACGATGCGGGCTCCTTCACCTTCTCTACACATCAACACCTCTTTTTGCCGGGTTGTGTCACGACTACACTTGATAACAACCATCTGGGGCATCCACCACAGGCAGTGGCAAGGTTTGTTGGTCAACGGCTGAACCCGAATGAGTCCAGAACGCTTGTCTTACCTGTACGGCTTGTTTGGTAACGGCAGTGCTTTCATACAGAGGAGGGCGGCCTGGAGCCCCAACCTTGGTAGTGTAACGCATGGTGCAATCATCAACTCCAACAGGCGGCTCTCTGTGGCTACGTAACGGTTCATCGCTTTGCCTGCCATATCCCACCTACAGGAACGGTGAAGGCATGCCTCCAAACCAGGATCCCATCTCATGGTCTCCAACATGGTCCATGCAAGAGGTCAACGCTGTTGCCAACATGTGGCCCTGCAACGTCAAGGAACCCGTGTATGTTTCTTTGGCCCAAGTTTCGGGCACTCAAAGCTTCCAGCGCCATTTCACACTTTGCATCACGCCTGTTTTGTTTTGTCGGTCGGGGGGGGATATCGCATGGCATTGCAGGGATCAGAGCACCTGTTTTGTCAACGCAACCAAAGATGGCGTGGTTCAAGATGGCTCCAATCCACTCTGCGACAAGACCATCGGTGACGATGCCGTCGAGAAGCTGACACGGGCTATGGCAAACCGCGACGCCACCGGGCAGCCCTTTTTTATGGCCGTTGGGTTTCGGTGCGGTGTCGCTGGCACGCTCTTGTTCAACCACGAGTGGACGCACTACCTGCTTGTGCACCTCCAAACTTTCTTTCTTACACACTATACCCTCCAAGTCGGCAACGGTACCGGCAGTGCACACTGACTCGCAGTTGGCTTTTGATTCCCCACCGTGTCTAGAAAGCCACATCTTGCCTTTCGCTTTCCAGCACCATGGCGGGATGTGTATCCAGCGCTTGACCAGATTAAGATAGCCGCCCACCCAACCCAAGACCCCTCTATGCCTGCCATCGCCCACCACGACCCCTGCCTGCAGAGCGATCCATGGACGGCGCTGCCAACCAATGTCTCCCAAACCCTACGACTTGAGTACTACTCTTGCGTTTCGTGGATGGACTCGCAGGTGCGCCACCGTGTCTTCAGCCCCATTGCACATTAACACCGGTGGATCAAGCGTCATCAGTTGCTTTGGTGGTTCACCTGATGTTTGGATCATGCCAGGTGGGCCGTGTTCTGGACCTATTGGAGCAGGGCGGCCATTACAATGACACCCTGGTTGTATTTCATTCTGACCACGTGAGTAACCAACCATACGGTTGGGCTCACTATTGTGGTCTGTTTGACTGAGCATTGCAGCGACAGACCAAACCTGTGCTGACATATTGATGACACGGCGTGACACCTTTGATCACCATTTTCTTCTTTTAGGGCTGGAATCTGGGAGAACATGGCCAGTATGAAAAGTTTACCAACTGGGAAACCGGCACGCGTGTCCCTTTGGTGATTCGGGTAAGTTTGTTGCAAGCTATGCGGGGATTTCTGGCGCCTTGACAACCACATCACCATTTTGTTGTGTTCAGGCTCCCTGGATTGAAAACAGCGCTGGCAAGGTCTCGGATTCTTTGGTACGTTTTGGTGTACCATTGCTGTCCGGCCCCATTACTCTTTGGCATCGTAACCCAATCCTGCCTTGTCGCGCCCCTCCTATTCAATGTAGGTGGAGCTGGTGGATGTTTATCCTACCACCATCGATGTCCTGGGCTTGCCAGCACCTCCTGATGCACAAAAGCTGGTGCGGCGATCATCAGTCTGCGTTTGGTCGGTGTCGCCTTATCCATCCTCTCTACTCAGCTGATCTCGCAACTATCTTCATAGGACGGCGTAAGCTTGAAGCCCATTTTGGAGAACGCCAGTGCTGAAGTTCGACCTTATGCTCTCTCCCAGTACCCGCGCTGCCCTCAGGTACCTAGCACGTGCTGCTCAAAAGCTCCGGCCGGGACCATGTGGCGCATGCTTGCTCACGTGCTCACTTTTTTCGTCATGTAGTTTCTGGGCAATGAAACGCGCTACGACGAAAACAATGTGTAAGATCCTGCTGTTTAGCGCCATGTCAGGGCAGGGGGATTCGGGTGGTCAAACGTGCATGTCGTGGGGCTTGCCACGAGATGAAACACTCCTACTTATGAGCTCACGTGACGATGCCACCGACCTGCTGCGCTGTAGGTGTCTCTTTGTTGACCGCACGCGCATCAACTTTATGGGTTACAGCATTCGGACCGATCAATGGCGATACACCGAGTGGGTCGAGTGGAATGGCGTCGACTTCAAGCCCGAGTGGGATAAGCTGGTACGTACTAGTATTAGTGTTCAATTGTCACTTGATCTTTTGGGGCCTCGTCAGGCTTGAGCCATGCCTCAGGGCCATGAGTCACACCTTGCTTCAATTCTCATCCATTGGTCTCCGATCTTTTCCGATTCCGAGCTAGGTGGCTGGAGAGCTGTACAATCACACAGGAGACACGAACATGGACTTTGATGCCTTTGAAAACTACAACGAGTATGATGATCAGCCTGATGTGGTCCGCCAGCTGTCGCAGATGCTGCACGATGCGGTGGCCAGCCAATAGGCGTTGTCCACCCCAATCGACACATGGTGCCTTGGTCAATTGGACTGCTGCAAGGTCTCAGCTTGGTGTTCAAAGGTCCTAATAGCCGGCAGCAAAGTCGACTGTGTGCAGCAGCTCTTGCTTTCCATCATTCAAAGCTGCCAGGTTGTCGGCGGCCAGTTTGGCAATGTTGTCAGCCTCGGTGACGGCTGCGATGTGAGGCGTGATGGTGGTGTGCGGATGTCGCCACAGGCCATGTTCCTGGGGCAGAGGCTCTGTGTTGAAGACGTCCAGTACGGCATGACGCAACAATCCTTGATCGAGAGCTTGAAGCCACATGTCATCGCTCGGAGCCACATCACCACGCCCCACATTGATAAACACGGTCTACAAGCGGATCCCCATGAGTATGTGCGGTTGAGCGCTCGGCATGTTGTGTAGACGATGGGTGGCAGGAGAGCATACATCATGGCTTTTGCACGCGGCCAGAGAGTCCAAGTTGATGCACCCTCGCGTTGTGGGGGTGCTAGGCAGCAGGGATACGACAAAATCTCGCCCAGTCAGCGCTTCTTGCAGCTCGGTGGTGTAGGACACTCCGGGCACTGGGTACGAGCGCAGAGTGCAACCGTAAGCAAGACTTCAAATCAAAGAAAGATAAAGTTGGGATCTCCATCGACAGCCAGCTATGTATGTCCCAACTATGCGCCAAGATTACGAACGTGGGGAGGTGGGCATGCTGGTAACCAAGCCTGTGACAGACATGCCCTGTGCCTGGCAGGCTTGGCCGACCTGTCATGGCGCCCAGGCGCGCAGCAGTAAGGCAGATTGCAGATGCAAGAAAAAGAGAAAGCCATTATCATGAAGCGGGTTGGTTTGCGCACCTCTCGGCCAATTGCACCCATTCCAAGAATGGCAACGCGCACCGCATTGGAAGGGCGATAGCCTGTCAAGCGCTCTTCTCGGGCGGGCCACGTATGATTCTCCTGCCACATGCCAAGCCCTGACATGAGACAGACCGCAGGGCAGAAGGCCTTCGGTTCATTTCGGCCAACTTTGTGACTTGATTACCTGGTGGCGTCTAAACACTGGAATGCGCTGCAGCTGGGCTAGAATATGAGCCAGGACATACTGGGTCATTGGCGGGCCAAAAAAACCTGCATATCTAGCAAAGGACGACAATAACCCACGGGCATGGCAACGTGGGTGAGTTGGAGCTGATGGGCGCCCTGCACGCAAGTTCTGACCAGACACATGTTAGTCTCACCGGGTCAGGTGAAAGGAGGGAGTCTGTCAGTGCAGCAAGGACAAGTGTGTGGTTGGTCAGTAAAATCGTCCAGCGTTACACAGAGCAAAAGGAACACCAATAAGGATTCACCTGGCCATTCAAGGACCGAAGCAAAGCATCAACACCCGCAAACGTTGATTGAACCCATTTGAGAGCGGGGAAAAGGTCCAAGTGGGGTCCCAGCTCCGTGGGGTCAGCCACGAGAAATTGGACGTTGGCCAGCTGTTGTTTCCCTATGCTCAGACGGAAGGCATCTCTGTCAACAGCAAAAAAAAAAGCAGAGAAACGGGCAGCGCAAGAAGTTGGGAAGCAAATGCGATGGGTGGTGGTTGCGGCGGAGCATCTCAGCCAGACCTTCTTGCGTGTTCCAGCTCTTTTGCGGATCGAGTGTGACAATGTCCTACCGTGGGTCAATGGACGACTGTGAGCTTTGCCAGCGTGCAGGGGATGGCGAAAGTGGGTGGCGGGGGGCGAATCTCAATGTGTGAATGGTTGGGTGGGATAGAACAAGAGCCGTTGAGCACTTGAAGAGTGAAGAGCATGATGCGGCACAGACGGCTTCGCCATACCACGGGCAGTTGTCGATCGGCCATTGCTTGGGCAAGTTTGTCGGGTAGTTGGTGAACCCGGCTGAAGCAATACAGTCGTTGACGAAGAACGCCGCCAACAGCACTCCCGCTCGCCATTGTACAGGTTGAGCTGGGAGACACAGGATCCAAGGAATAAGAGCTCACGCCTCACCACGGCTCAATCAGCAGCTCACCACGGCTCAATCAGCAGCTCACCACGGCTCAATCAGCAGCTCACCACGGCTCAATCAGCAGCTCACCACGGCTCAATCAGCAGCTCACCACGGCTCAATCAGTCGAAGTCCGCAACAACAGCAAAACTGCTTTTGACACATACAACTCGATAGAAGAAGAAGAAGAAGAAGAAACTGATGAAGAAGTAGAAATCTCACGGTAAAAGCTGATTACATTAAGACATGGTGGATAGGAAGAAGAAGAAGAAAAGCGAGAAGTTGCTCTTCCGGTCGTCAGAATTGACATGTGGGAGACAATTTCCGGGACCGGGTGGGTGACTGGAAACGGCGTCGTCGAGTTGAACAGGTCTTGAAGCAACTGGACGATGGCGGACGTTGGGGAGCGGCTGGAGGTGGGTGATGACTTGCCGGGTGGGCTGATTTCGGCCCGTGATCTCAAGGAAAAGCGGGAGGCCGAGGCTCAGGCGGAAGCTGAGGCACAAGCGGCGAAGCAGGCTCGAGCTGCGGCGGCGAAGGAGGCAGCGTTTGCCGCACCCGAGGTCGTCGTCGCCGGTGGCAAGTACACGCGGCCGGACTGGGCCGCCACCGTCCCTTCGGGGTACAAGCTAGAGGTTCTCAAGAAGGGCGTTATTCTGGGAACCATCCCACTGCGTGGCAAGGATCAGTACGTGACCGCTGTGACCGATCGCCTTGGCGCACTAATGTGCTCAGCACTGACCGGGCATCCATGACCACCCTGTGTTGTCATCCGAGCTGCAGCTTTGTCTTAGGCCGGGCTCCTGATGCAGACATCAAGGCTGAGCACGAATCCATCTCTCGCTATCATGTCGTGCTTCAATTTTGCAACGACGGTTCGTCAGCGTGCCAAATGCTTGGATCGAGGCCAATTCAACTCTAATGGCCTTCCATGTACAACTGGCAGGTTTTTTCTACATCTACGATCTCGAGAGCACCTATGGCACCAAGCTCAACAAGGCGCGCCTCAATCCCAGGTCTGCTTGGTCCTTGCCTGCGCGTTCTCGAGCACCATTTTAACTTATGCTCTCACCCCACCGTTCTCACGCCGTTGAACACACAGGCGCCATATCAAGTTGCGCATTGGTCAATTGTTTCGACCTGGAGAAAGGTTCGGGCGCAGCACGAGTTGTCTTCATAGTGCTCTCACGCGCGACTCTAACCGTTGTGTTCTGGTCCGTTTCATTATCCTTGTTGCTGGTGGTCTGCGGTAGCACGCGACTTTACGTTCTTCAGGGGCCGGCAGAAGCAACGCGCGACGAAGAGCAGCACCTTGCCTTGCAGGAGGTTGATGGTGTGTTTCTCTTTTTCATTGCCAAGGCAGGGGCAAGAGCCCCCAACTCAATGCTTTCTTGCACGCACGCGTATCCGCTCATGGTATAAACGGCCAATCCTGTCCCACTGCTTTGATCTGGTTATGCAGCCGTTAAACGGCGCTCTGCCATCCTAGGCAAAAATGAAGATGGGCCAGATGATGAATCGGAGACTTCTGTCTGGTGCGCGCGCCTGCATGTGTGTGTGTGTGTGTGTGTGTGTGTGTGTGTGTGTGAAAAAAGCTTTTGCATCTTCTATCGGCACAAACTCGTCCAAGCTAATCGGCTACTCGGGATCGTCATGTTCATCTTCCAAGGGGTATGAACCGTGCCGCAGACGTCGATGACCGTGTCCTTGATGACATTGATGAGGAGGCACTTTTGGCGGGCGGCGATGCTGGTGCGTGATCAGTGTCTGAGGCTGTGTGTCAAGTTCCTGGCATCATCATATCGTCATTGCCTATTCATGTTGTTCACAGCATTGCTGGCGGATGCTCGAGCGGGCTATGGCCACGCTGATCAAGAGGGAGAGGATGGGAAAGTGCCATTTTTCGTCAAGGACCCCAAAAAGGCGCTCAAGGTACGATGGGCGCCCAAGTGGCTGGAGGCGCCTCAAGGCTTACTTGACTCCTCCCTTCCTTTAGCCGGTTGCGGATCACACACTTCATCTTTACAACTGTACACTCTTGCACACAGGTGTTTTTTGATCGCTACGGCGAGGTGCCAAAATATACGGTTGAATCACAGAAGGAGGGCCGCCAACGGTACGACCATGCCCCAAAACCAGCCAAGTGGCTCATCGGGATGCCGACCTGCTTTCTGACGCGCAATGGCGAGCTCACTCTACGATTGGCCGTACAGATTGCACATGGCAACCTTGGAGCTGCCCTTGAAGACCATATCCGGCAATCCCATCACCATCACCGCCTCAAGTGAGTGAGCATCGCCCTAAACCAAGCCGGCTTCACGCTTTGCGCCTCAGAGGCCATGGTCATGACCAAGGTTAGAGGTTTGATTGACAAGCCTTGATGATGCGGCATGGTTTGGGTGACACTCTAGGTGACACCAAGGGCAAGGAAGCGGTGGTGCAATGTGCTCTCAAGGCGTGTCGCCTTCTCCACTCACGTGGGTTATTGCTTGAGCACACGGCCAAGCGTCAAAAGCGCAGCAAGGATAGTGACGACGATTCAGACGATTTTTTTGACCGCACAAGCGAGCTTCAGCGCAAGCGTGAGGTCAGTGCTTACCACCTCTTGGTAGTGTGGATTGAGTGGGTCACGCGGAATAACAAAAACTTGTTTGCTTGAATTTTGGGGGATGCAGCGTCGGATGGCAAAGAAGGGCGGTGCCCCCAAACAAGCCGAGACCTACGAGTCTTTGCTGGAAAAGCGCGCCAAGATGGTAGCGGAGCGAAGCTCGTTGTTGGCGCAGATCCAGGCGCAGGAAGCCGAAGCTGCAACGGCGATCAAGGCCGGGGATGCAATGGACGAGTACATGCAAAGCTTGGCGGCAAACACGGCCGCTGCATCTGCAAAGCAGCTGAAGCGAGAGGTTCAACAACTGGACAAACAGATTGAGAATACTGACAAGTTTATCGAGCTGCTCAAACCGGCGCTTGTCCCCCTCGCTAACACCTCTGCCTCGGGCACGGCTTCGACAACAAACGCCAGCTCAGAGCAGCCAGAGGCGGTTGGTGAAGTGCAGCCCTTGGGCTCAGCTCGCGCCAATGCCGACTCAAAGAGTTCTGAACAGCCAACCGCAACCGGGGTGCAGGAAAGTGGCGCCGATCGTCGATCAAAGGCGCGAGCATTGATGTCTTTTGACGACGAAGACGACGAGGAGGACGGTGCATCAAGGGCAGCACGCCTGCGCGAGGCGATGGCAGAGGCCGCAGCTCAGCCAGCACCGAAATATGCGCGTGCGGACCACGATGAAGCGTCTACTCAATCAGTTCCAACAGCACCATCATCAGCACCATCATCATCAGCGTCCGCGGCGCCGTCGCAGCCCCCTCGACGACATCCGGCACTTGAGGCTGCTCTCAACCCCAGCGAGGTGGGGCAAACACACGTGTCTGTGTGATTGGATACGTCTGGCATGCATTTTGCTGACATGTCACATGTTGCATTCTAGGCTGAGGCTGAAGACAGTAGCTTGAGTCGCCGCCTCGATAATAACGCGACTTATCAGGTACGCCGGCGTGCGTTGTTGTGCGTTGTTGTGCGGGGTTCACGGATCAGGTTGGACATGCTCACGTGTATGGCACCCCGGCACGCTTTCCATGCAGGAGTGGCGGCCCCCGACAAACCAAAAAGGTGATGGACGCAACTCGCTCAACGCCAAGCTGGGATACTAGCTGTCAATTGAATTGGCGAATGTCAAGTCGTTTGGACCAAGATGGCAACGGCTCCACTGCAAAACACTTGGTTCTATTTTTTTTCTTCTTCTTTTTCAAAACGTGTGAGGTCACTTGAAGTTGTGTCAGCTCAACACGATGCATCCGAGACGCGAAAGGCAAGAGATCTCGTACACGTCAAACTAAATGGGCTGACGGAACTAAGAACAAACACAAAAACAAAAACGAGGCTAGGCACTGGTAAAATAGATGCGGGCTGCGGCGACGCCGAGTAGAAAACCCAGGCCTCCAACAAGGGCGAGGCGGGCGTGACCATTCGCTGCCAAAGGGGTGCAGCAAGCCCACTGCTCCTGGGCGCTGGTAGGTTGGACGGCCTGTCGAGCTGCCTGGCGCTGACGGGCTTCCGGGGAGTGGAAATTTTCATACAAGCGCAGAACATTGCGCTCCAGCATGGCCACGGTGACCTAGCAAATCGATGCACGGAAGCATGAACATGTCACATCAATGAGCATACTGTCTCCCAGGGCATAGTATTGATGGGATCCCGTGTGCAGGTATGCCGGGCAGTGTTGAGGATCTTATCCGTGTTGTGATGGGTACGCAAATGCTATTGGTGAGTTTTGATCGCAGCGTGGCAAAAGCATACCTTGCCCACCATGGGCACAAAGCGAGCATTTGGGCGTTGTGCAGCCAAGGCTTCTTCGTCAATGTTGCGGAAGGAGGCCACGTTTACAATGACCACATCGTCGCGGCAATATTCGATGGGCAGCTGATAGTCCTGTGAGAGCACGGCGGGGGTCGGGGTGAATGAGAAGGCCAGGAGACGAGACGACTTTGCTCATGGTGCAAAACAGGCAAAGCTGGGTCGGCGAGAAATTCCCTTTCAAAAACTAATGCAAATCAGACCTTGGACGGGACTCCGAGAATAATAACGTCTGAACGCCGGCAAGCGGATTCCACGGTCTGATCAGTGAGCTCGAGATGGCCACGGCGAAACTCATAGATCGAGTCAATGTCCACAGAGAAGACCTGCAAGCGGGGCAAAAAGGTGCGACAGCGTATCATGAGGGCCAAGATTTGCAAGGGCTAGATGGTTTCCTAGGGGTACGCTGCAGGCAGCTAGTGCAAAAGCGCGTTGTATCGTAGCAAAGAGGATGGATAGGCGTCGATTACCTGGGCACCGTCATTAGCCAACATGGCTGCGAGAGGTCGGCCCACGACCTCAGAACGATTGATAACAGTGACTGACTTGCCACGAAGGCGGTCGCCCACGGGAAGATCGGGGTTGTACACCTGTGGTGGCAAAGGGAAGTGAGCGCATCACCTCTAGCGTTGACCCAGCTGGCGGGCACACGGGCTCGGCATCGTCAGTGGGGCTGCGGTGGCACAAAAGCATACGTGCAGATCCTCCAAAATCTTGACGACGGCCAGGGGGGTGCAGGGCAAGACACATTTCTGAGTTTGCTCTTCATCAACGAATCGCTGGTTGCGATAGAGCGCCTCGCGATAGTAGCGAGTCAGACCCTCCACATCCTTGGTAATGTCCACCTAGGTACGTGGATGGACAGCATGATATATAAGATGGGCAGCATGATGTATGAGGGCGGTTTGAGATGCTGAAAAATCTGATTTAGTGAGTGCCAATGCCGAGGACAGTGCCTTGGTGTGGAAGGAACGCACCTTGTCACGGAGCTCGTCGTCCATGGTGGTGCCAAAGAATGAGGGCTTGGAGCCGAAGACGGGGTAATAGATGATAATGCCATGTACAGAGGGGTCTTGGTTGGCCTCGGCCAGGCGGTCCTCCAAGCGGTGGGGCTCCACCTATTGCAAAGGCTGTGGGGTAAGCCGTTGTCTGGACGCGGGATGGAGCTCAGGACCGTGCAAAAGGCCAGGCGGTATTTGATGTGCGGCGCACCTGGTCGAGTTCGTAGTCGATGCCGTCACTGCGGCAAGCCTTGCCGGTCCACTCGGCATACTGACACGTTCCAGCGGGAAAAAGAAACAGAGGTTGATTGGACGGTGGTGAGCTTTCGTCGGAAACTTGCAGACACGGTTCATGGAAGCACAGGTGCTGGGCGAGACCAGTGAGGCATATTTGCGCGCAGAGTGGCACAACGCACCTTCTTGGCCGCGGGGTCATCGTTGGCTAGGATGCCAAGAAGCTTGGGCCGAGCAGTCTCATAGCGGGCTGTGGTCATGTGACGGATGTGTTCCCGAAAGGGCTCTGTAGGGTGGGGCGGGGGTGGGGAAAGGGGTGTGACGGAACCTTTGGTTGGCAGGCTGGGGCAGAGGGAGGGGCAGGTCACGGACCAGCGATTTTGGTGACGTTGACGCGCAGCGCCGATTTGCTTGAGGCAGGTGCACTCATGGCTGTGGCAAAGGGCAAGTCAAGGCGGTACAGCTTATCGACTGACATGGGTTTGCATCAAAAACGATTCGTGCGGCACGTGAGCAGACGTCAAGGCTGGTGCACACTGAACAGGGAATGGGCCTCTTCTCTCTCCCTGGTCACAGCAATGCGGCCCTCTTTCCCCAGCACCAGCAACGCCAACAACCAAAACCGCTCTCGACCAAACCAGCCCTGGCTGATCCCTCGACTCGGCAGTCCAAACATACCCCGTAGAGAGAGATGCGATTGGTCAACGAGGGCACATGCGACAGGAAATGCGCGCGCGCTCTCTCTCTCTCTTTCTCTCACTCACTCACACACACACACACACACACACACACGCATGCGCCATTTGCAAGGCCGTTGCGCAAGCACTGGTGATGATCACCGATGTTTTGTCAGACTGACTGGTGGTCAATGTCAGACGCCAATGTCTGAACTTGTTGCAGCAAGACCACACACATACACACACACGCACACACACACACACTTGTGTTGTATTTGTTGATCGAGTCGAGGTGCGTGTCAAGTTGGGGCGCCTTGCGCTCGGCAATCTGTTGTGCTCTGCTCTGGTGGGCGGGGCAGCTGATGACGGGAGACGGGCGTATAGGGGTGTAGGTGGCATGCGTGCAATGTCTCATCGTGGGTGTTGAACAAATGCATCTTCCCTCAGTAGAGGGGACCATAACAGCCGGCAAGATGGGCGTATATCGTGCGGCGCGGCACACGGTGGTGCAGTCAACGACGGACCTCGAGTCCCAGGCGGCCCTGGTGACGGCCTTTTTCGAGGAGTATGAGCAAAAGCACAACTTTCCAGACGATGATGAACGTGAGGATCCCGAGGTGATCAAGCAGCGCATTCGTAGTCAGGAGGCAGGGCATCCATCGGGCATGTTCACCCATCTCCTCGCGGTGGAGCTTGAGCGCGAGGATGGCACTTGGGTCTTTGGCGGTGGTATGGTGATCGAGTTCTACCCACTCTCCAGCTGTGGCCTCCTCACTTACGTGTTCGTGGCCAAGGCCCTTCGTGGGCACCAGAGCCTGCAAGATGGCTCTCGACTCCGCGTCGCCGACTTTTTGTTTAACCACAACCTCGGGCTTCCTCAGGTCGGTCATCGGGGCCGCTTCTGCTGCATCGCGCATGTTGGTGCCACCCTGCAATCGAGTAAGCTCACTCTGGGGATGGATGTGGCTGATAGGTGGTTGAGTCCCTGCGCGCCAAGTACGCTACTGTGAGCACGATTCTGTTCGAGTCGAATCATGCCGCTCGCACCGATCCCGAAGAGGACTCCATGCCCCCTCACAAGCGCCTTCGCTTTTTCCGATCCATCGGGGCCAAGCGCACGCCGTGCGCCTACGTCCAACCACCACTCGAAGAGGGCAAGTCGCCCGTCACCAACCTCATGCTCAATTGCTTCCCACGTTATCAGGCAGACCCCAAAGGACTCGATCTTCGTGATGTGATGGTCTTTCTGATGGAATTGACCACCTCTCTGGATGAGAACATGGAGCCTCGCATTTACGAGGAAGACGTCTTCATGGCTGACGTCGAGCGCATGCGCACCGTCTCAGCCGGTGGTCTGGCTGATTTGCGCCTCACTGGCGTCACTTATGGGGGGCATAACCTCTTGCAAGACATGCTGGATAGCCTCGTACGCAGTCGTACCGATGGCTTTGCCGTGAGTCCCATCAACATTCCGATTGATCCTCCTTTCCCAACCCCCTTGGACGGACTGCGCCTGCGCCTCAACGTCCCATCAGCCGCAGCCCTGCCCAGCACGTTTCCCGCCCTCCGCCTTGCCTTTCACGATGAGTGGCGCTTTTCCACCCCCGAAGGCGAGACGGAAGCGCATTGCTTCATTTTCCCCGAAACCGTGGATGCGCGCACTTGTGGCCTATCTGAGCCCCACCAGCGCGTGGCCACGGCTGCTGGTATGCCCAAGGCCACGGCCGAGGGAAGTGCCATTGAAATGGACATCTCTGCTCTCACTGCGCCGACCAATCCGCTGGTATTGGCGGCCCTCTGGTTGGGTCGCCTGGCCAGCGTCAGTTTGGGCTCTGATGAGTCAGCCCAAGCTTGGCATCCAATTGCCAAACTACCCCAGCTGCTGCTCGGTGATGCGGCTGGTAGTGTAGCGGCAGCCATGACGGTCGAGGTGCGCGTTAGCGTCAAACTGCCAGATCAGAGTGGTTTGGAGGCGCTGGTAACCTTGCTGCGAGCTTACGCGCAAGCTGAGTGCACTGAAATGGATGTCACGCCCACCAGTCGCACCTTGGTTTGCGATGGTCGCCGTCTCGTTCTGTCTTCGACCACGGCGTAATTGAGCGGTGTACATCTTCTTGCCTTTCATCCCACAAAACATGACAAAAGTTTCCCCCTCGCACCCAGTCTCCCTTGCGCTCAGCGCAACTACCACGAAGCGAAAGATGCTCGCATGCTCGGGTTGAGCCAAGCCTGCCCGTTTTGCGTTGCAGACGGCCACGCAAACTCCAAAAAGTTGAAAAGTAACACATGCGGGATAACTGAATACAAATTATAACAATGTGCCATAACATGCAAAACAACCAACAGAGGACCAGACACGAGTCTTTTTTTTTTTATTTGCAGCAGGCGATGCGACAAGCATTCTCACCGCGTCGCCCGAGCACGGCGGCACTCAAAAAACAAAAAGCCCACCAGGAAAACTCCCAAGACAATACCAGCCACAAGCTTGGCCAAGTCCTCGTCGGCGATAAAGTCAAAGAAGACGCCCGAAATCTACCAGGACGAATAACATCAGCAAGATCAATAGGCATACATCGCAATGACCCTTGGCTCAAACAAGTGGCTTTTCGCTGGCTGCCCCGCGCGCCCTCTTCCCCCTCAAAAGCAAGAAAAAACAACAACAACAACAACAACATCCGTCACAGACTTACCCCAGCGATGCCAACAATGGCCAAGAGCAATTCAAGGCGTTGCTGGTGACCGGCGGCAATGCGTTCTTGCAGCTGCTCGACGTTGAACTCAAAGGAGGCCTGCATGCTTTTGATCTGCTCCTGCAATATTTGAATGCCGCGTGAATCAGAGATGATGCTGTGAATTTCCCGCTCGTTTTCAAAATTGTACATGTTGGGCATGACGTGGCGCTGCAGGCGGCGCTCAACATCGGACATGTCGGACAACAATGGTTGCAGAGCGCGCTGGCTGCTACAATCGCGCAAGGCCTGCAAGTTGTACGTGGCCCGTTTTGCCAACTTGGTCAGGAGGTGGTGGTTGAAACTAGCAACCGCCGTCGTCACCATGAGGTAAGGGTTCATGAACAGGGTTTCCTCCAAGCCCACCATCGGCGTATCGACCTCGAGGTCATCCTTGGTAACGGAGATCGCAAATTGCAGACCACGGTTGATGATAATGGCTCCATTGTCTGCCGAGCAGAAAAAATGCCAGCAAGAGGTCACCACAGGGGCCAAGCAGAACCAGCGTCAGAAAAACCGGTCCACTGGGGTCTGGACCAGGAGAAAAAAAAAGGGGGGGGGGGGGGGGGGGGGGGCACGGTGTCCGTCAACTCGCTCAGACCCATGCGGGCAAAATCCATGATACCCAGAGAGAACCCGCATAAAATGTGACAGTACGCCACCAGTTCACTGTCTGAATGGGAGAGGCCGACATTGCCCTCATCCGAGGAGCACTTCTCCACAATGTCAAAAACGTCGGCGGCACGATCGTCCGTGACAAAGACCTTGTTGCGGCACAACTGAGAGTACTCATCCCCCAACACCAACTCGAGAATGCCGGAGGAAATGTCTTGCACCCCTAGTGGTGGAATGTCTGCCGAGAGGGGCTCGTAGTGACAGATGATGCCTTTTTCGCCAAAAAGAAATTCAGTCAGGGGCGCAAATACATCGTTTCCACGACGCGTAAACTGGATGCGGTTCTGTTGCCGCTGAATGGCGCTCAGGTTGCCGTGCTCCTGCAGACCGTTGAAGTACTTGAGCAGTTTGATGACATCATATTCAGTAAAAGCCGAATCAGCGGCGGGGGCGATGCCGACGTTCCAGATCAGCTCGTCACAGCCAAAAAAGCGAAAGGAGGAGAGGTGAAGTCGTGCATCAACGCAGCGGTGGAATTGCTCACCAAACTGCCGCAGCGTCCCGTCATTCAAGGGCACAAACAGCTCGTGGCGGCCCTGGTCCATGTCGTGCAGAAGATGTCAATAAGATGGGGAGAGAGAAGCGTGCGGGAATGGTGGGATGTGACCCGTGTGTGAGGTTGAAGATCGAAATGTGCCAGCACCTTGCAGGTGAACAGCAGTAACCAGGCGGCGACTTACCTCGCTCACAAACTCGAAGCGCTCTGGAAAACGAATGGTCACCTCCACCACACGCTGAAAGCGGCCCTCAAAGGCTGGGTCGCGACGCTGGTAGGCATAGTTGAGCAGATCCATCTCGAACGAGTGAAAAACGGGACAAGGCTTGCGTCGGTGGTTGGTCCTGCGCTTGAAGAGGGACTCGTCCACCATGTACATGAGACAGACGTTGACGGCGGACATTTTGAGCAAAGGTTCTTCAGCGTATGGGACCTCGGTGAGATCGAGCTTAACCTCTTCCTCCAGTTCCAGGTCATCGTCTTGCTCCAGCAGGGAGAGCTGCAGTCGCCGGGCTGATTCACTGACCAAGCGCGGGCCTTGAAACGCGGGCACTGTGGCACCCGGGGCGATGGTTTGTGCTAGCTGCAGGTCTGCTTGGTAGGCGTCCGCGGCATAGGCGGGGGGATTGGAGTAGCGATCCAGGGAGTAAGTGATGTCGATGATGTATTGCATAATGACAGCGGCGCGTACGCGGGGCAACACGCCGCTCCTTTCGGTCAGGTGCGGGATCACAAAGAGGTCCTGCGAGGTGTCGATGGGCGCGTCGGCGGCGACGGCGGGCTGAATATAATCAAAGTTGACGCGTTTGGCTCCGATGCGCCGAAAGAACTTGAGCAGAGCGGCAGGGGAGATGAAGGTCTCGTTTCCGTTGCTCGATTGGTCCAGAGTGCGAGCGGCGTTTTCGCCTTCCAGGACGACGGCGGCAACCTCTTGCTTGCTTTGACGAAGACGCTGAATCAGGGACGGGATTCCACCCAGCGAGGGTGAGTTAATGAGGCTCTCGGCGAGGCGAATGGTCTCGCCACCAACTTGACGCTCGTTGCGGAAGCGCTTGTCGATGAAGATGTAGGAGAGAAGGAGCACACAACTGCGGGGGTAGTACTCTAGAATCATGCCTCCGGCCATGTTGAGTTGGTCTTGGTCTTGGTCGTGGCAGTGGAGAATAAAGATGTGGGTAACGGAGCGATTTTCGACGGCAGGCTGCTGCTCGAGGCGCGCCAAGATGTGCTTCGGCTCCTCACGCACACTCTCGTCAAAGTGGCGTTCATACATGGCAAAGAAAGGCTGGATCTGGGCCTTGTGTTTGGCCACATCGTGGCGATCCTTGATATGGAGAAGTTGCAGCCCGTTCATGGCGGTCAGCATCAGGTTTGTCCCTAACGCATGCCTCAGGGGTGAGGTGCCACATGTGACTGGGGGTCAGATCGGTTCAGTCATGTGTGGACTTTGGATGAATGACGTACTTACTTGCTCACGAGATTCCGAGAAGAGTTTGGGCAAGACTCGACACACGCGCACACCCTTGGCGACCGCGGATCCGGCCTGATCGGACGCGATCACCTGCATGCAAAAACAAGAAGAAAAAAAAAAGAGAAGAGAAGAGAGATAGAGAGAGGGTGTATGTGACCGGCGACCGATCAAAGGCAAGTGACAGAGATGAGACGGCCGGAAAAAGGCCACCCGCCACGGCGTGGTACAGCGGGGGAAAGACACAAAGGCATCAGGGCGAGCAGCGACGAGGGGGGCGGATGCGGAACGAGATCTCTCACCTCGCGCTCGTTGTGTGTGTGTGTGTGTTTTGTTATCAGCTTTGCGATCATTGTCATCATTTTCGTCTTGCGCAACAAAGAGAGGAGAGAGTTTGAGAGTTTGAGAGAGTTTGAGAGAGAGAGAGTTTGAGTTTGAGAGAGAGAGAGTTTGAGAGAGCGAGAGAGAGAGAGAGAGAGAGTGTGTGTGTGTGTGTGAGAGCGAGAGAGAGAGAGAGAGAGAGAGAGAGAGAGGGTTTGAGAGAGTTTGAGAGAGTTTGAGAGAGTTTGGAGAGAGTTTGAGAGAGTTTGAGAGAAAGAGAGAGAGAGAGTTTGAGAGAGAGAGAGAGTTTGAGAGAGAGTTTGAGAGAGAGAGAGAGAGAGAGAGAGAGAGAGAGAGAGAGAGAGTGTGTGTGTGTGTGTGTGTGTGTGTGAGTGTTCAGAGTCATTTTTTCTCGCGCAAGACTGTGCCGTGAAAGTGCGCACCCCGTGCTCGGCTGGTAGGTTCATCGTCGTCAACATCATCATCGCCATCATCATCATTAGGATGTGTGTGGGTGAGGGGTTTACATGCCCGTGGGGTTGTTGCCGCTGGCGCTTGATGAGCCACTATGTTGGCAGCTTGCCGCGCGCGACACCTCAACGCCACTGAATCGTGATGACGCTGTGTTGTAGGATGTTGGCACGTTGTTGGCAACACTCAACGCGAATCCTCGCTCGACTGGCTGTGCGCGAGTCGACCTCAGCAACACCTGTGCTCAGCAGACCTCCTCCTTTTTTTGCCATCACCCGCACCATGGCATCTGGCGTGCCGCGCGTTGAAAAGTCGGACCAAGAGTGGCGAAGCCAGGTGAGTCCTGGCTGGTCAGATCCATCTCATCACTCCTCGGCACACTTGAAAGAGCAGCGTCTTATTCCACGGGCTCGATGGGCATGGGCGTAGCTGTCCAAGGAGGAGTATCGTGTGCTGCGAAACAAGGGTACTGAACCAACCAACGGTGTGTCGAACGATGCCTTTTTTTCGCCGCTGGTAAACTGAGTATCCCGGTGAGACGCCGTGTGTTGGGGCTATCTGAAGGCATCCGACGCTTTTTGTGGACTAGGTGAATACGACAAGTTTTACCCCAAAAAGGGATATTTTGTCTGTCGGGGCTGTCAGACGCCCCTTTATTCGGCGGCAGCCAAGTTTGCGAGGTTGGTCTTTTGATGGGCGACAGTGAGGGCGTAACTATAGGCAGAGGTGTGTGCCTCACGCATGGGTTGTTGTCGCGTTCCAATCAGTGGCTGTGGGTGGCCGGCCTTTGACAAGTGCTATGCAGGCGCCGTGAAAACGCACGTTGACAACTCCTTCGGTATGTGCATTCATCACGCGTCCATGCTCTACCTGCCTGCGCGCATCGATTGTGGCCGGGCGATTTTGTAGTCTGTTTCCCCCCATGACCTGTTCGCTCATCTCACCTGATATTTAGGTATGCGGCGAGTGGAAATTGTCTGTGCGGCGTGTGATGGCCACTTGGGCCACGTGTTTGAGGGTGAACGGTTTACGGAGACCAACGAACGGCACTGCGTCAACAGCGTATCCGTACGCTATGTTGAGGGTGAGCCTGATCCCGGGCTGACCGAAGCCAAGGTGGTATAAGCAGCACTCGGGCATCAGGCCATGGGACCCCCACGCCGCCCTTCCAAGACATTTGGCCTGTAACAGCATGGGCCCCTTCAAATGCAATGTGTTTGGGCGGCGTGGGGTTGTGCATTGAATGAAGCGTGTTCCTTTTCATCGGCGTTACCATAACTCGATGGTTCATCCAGTTGGAGGTCAATCGACTGGTCGACTGGTATGTTTGCAATGGTCGCAAACTGCAAGCTATGGTGCCAGGGCAGATACCCTTTGCAGTGAAGTTTGTCAACGGGGCACAGGACTACCAAGACTGTCGATGAGGCACAGGGCTTGCGCGCTGTCAAGCAGTAGAGCAAATTATTGCAAGAAACTCTTCAAGAGAGCAGAGAGAGTCGAGAGTCGAGAGTCGAGAGTCGAGAGTCAAGGGTAGAGAGCAGAGAGTCGAGAGCAGAGAGCAGAGGAGTCAGAACCGAGTCAGAACAAAAAGCTCTCAAAGGAAAAAAGTCAGAAAAAAAAGAGACAACAACGTGTGATTTGTTCCAGTGCTTGCTTCGCCATTTTTTTTTTTGTGCTTCTCGAACATCTCATCTGCGTGGTGCGAACGAGGTCACAGACGAGCCATCATGACGGATCGATTCGACGGCGTGCTGCTGAGCATTGCCTCGCAGTGCGATGGCATTGATGACGTATGTGGAATCTGGCTCTGCGCAAGGCATCGATGTATTCTTGAAATGCAGAGCTTCCTCTTGAATACACCTGCTCCTTCGTTGGGTCACCACTCGCTCTGCTGGCCTAATGGCTCATTCATCTGTGGACTTTGTGGTTGCTGCCGCCGTCTACAGCTGCTTGAGGTCTTCTTCTCATTTCTGGGTCGAAAAACCGACTTTTTTACGGGTGCTGCGGCTGCCGATGCCCGCAAGGTCTGTTATGCTAGCTTTGCCACAGCCAATGCATGAGGTCGTCATGTCTCACTCAAATGCTCAACTCAACGATGTTGCTTCGCCATGCATAGGCTGTGATGGGCAAATTTGAGCAGCATTTGAAGGCTGCCCAGCGTCGCCGTGCCGAGGAGACGGGCGAGCCTGAGCCTCAGCCCGAACCAGTAGAGGATGTGTCCTCCAAGTGCGTTTCTTTTGAGACTTTTCCAATGCCATTCATGTCATGTGGGGGGGTGTGGGTGCCTCTCATCTCTGGCCAATGTGTCGCGCACTTTTCTTCCTTGCCTTTGCTTGGTACGGCAGGCCACGCATCGAAGAAGTGACTGATGAAGAGGCTGCCCGCATCGAAGCTGCGGCTGCTAAGAAGAAGGTATGAGTTTTACCATTGTTGGCAGAGGTCAATGCGGCCAGACTCACCGTCAATCTGGCAACATCCCACAAAGTCGGGCACGAGTGGCGCGTCAGTCAAATCGACAGCATCGGCCCCCGCCCCCAAAAAGCCGGCAGCCAATGCCTCGGCTGCCCCAGCCGTGGAGGAGCTCTCAGGCATGGACTCTGGCGATGAGGTTCGGTGGTTGCACCTCTATTTGTTGAGAGAAGCCAGCTCTTGGTGCCAAATCAACCGTGCTGGTCGCTCACATTCCTTGTCCGGCCCACGCATTGTTTAGGATGATGAAGCGGGCAAGGACAAGCTCAAGCCCAACAGTGGTAACGGTGCCAACATGCCCACATATTCCTGGACACAAAGCCTTACGGATGTGGATGTGGGTGCTCTCCTATGCAGTTGGCTTTGAGTGATGCTCGTGCCCTTGGTGACCGCCTTCACTCCATGTTTGGACAAAGTAGCGGTTTCAGCTGGTATGCCCCTCACTTTTATCCGGGTATGATCATACAATCTCTGCTCCTGTTGTTGAACTGGGCAGGTTCGCATTCCGCTCAACGTGAGCTTCAAGGCCCGTGGCAAGGATTGTGCCGTCGACTTGACAAAAACCGTACGTTGGATCCCACGGCATTTGTTGCCTGCAGGCACATGCTGTGCGCACATGGGTACAGATACATATTTTGCCCGCTCATCTCACACATGTGTTGCCCGCACATTTGATGTTGATTCAGAGCCTCAAGGCAGGTTTGAAAAACGCACCTAGCCTTCTTGGTGGCGAGCTCTATGCTCCGGTAGGTGATGCACGCGGTTCGCTTCATCAAAGACGCCACAACACTGTTGATCCCCATTCGCTGACGCTCCGCTCACTGCAAACCTGACTGGCAGATCAAGGTGGACGACATGGAGTCCACTTGGACACTTGACAACAACACTCTCAACATTCATCTGGAGAAGGTTGAGGGCATGACCTGGTGGCCCTCTGTCATCAAGGGCGAGCCGGAGATCAATACGAAGAAAGTCAAGCCGGAAAACTCCAAGCTCTCGGATTTGGACGATGAAACCCGGGGGATGGTGGAAAAGATGATGTTTGATCAACAACAGAAGCAAATGGGCAAACCAACGTCGGATGAGCAGAAGAAGCTGGATATGTTGGAAAAGTAAGGCATCCAGCGCTTGCACCGCGGCGTTGGCCACCGTTATCGCCAGGCCGGGTGGTCGCTTCTGGGATTGTCTGACTGCGCTGAGCTCGCACCCGTACAAATTTTCACGTCTCTGCCTTTTTCGTTCGGGACGTCTTTGTGCATTTTGTTGTTTGTGTAGGTTCAAAAAGGCCCACCCCGAGATGGACTTTTCCAATGTCAAGATGGCATGAGTAGCATGCGTTCAGCGACATTTGAACTGCGCCACGCACAACAAACCTGCGCTTCCCATCAATACAGCGCCATAGCACAGCCGGCCAGCTATTACTGTCGAGTTGAATGAGAGAAGACCATGCAAGCTCATGATGTCAAATTGGTTGCTTGAGTGCAAGTACATTTCACATGCTGGAGCTTTGATCAACCTTTTCTGCTCCCAGTCGCAACTCGTGCCGACTTGAGGCATGAATGCCATGAAACACTCGTTTTGCTCACAAAAAACACGTCATACATGTACTTTGCTTTTACACGGCTTGTTACAAGCATCGCACACAGACAAACAGACCGCGAAAGGAGGGAGGAATTTTCATCCAAGCAAGGCTTGACTTATGTATGCTGCACCCACCGCCATTTGTGACAGGTGATGGCTCGTCCGGTCCAGGCCCGAGGTGTCACCGAATCACGGTGCCGTCAAGCTCCTCTTGTTGGATAAACGTCCAGTGGCAAGTGGCATCGGGGCTGTGGCTAAACTGAGCCACAGCACAATAGCGGGGGGTGCGACGCTTAGCCGCATGGCTCAGATGATGGTTAAGCAGTTTGAGTTCGCGGATGCCCTCGCGGTGGGACACGGTTATAATCAAGTGGTCCGGATGCCGGGCGTGCAGGACATCCAAGGCCTCTTCGAACGCGTCGGCATTGCGCAAAGCTGGAAGCACGGGTGTGGCGCAGAGTGCTGATAGTTCAGGATCAGTCAGAAAGTTAAAGTTTGCGCAGCCAACGTCGTTGACGGCGGCAGCACAGCTAGCCAGTCCAGCCACGGGCTGGAGGACGGTCGCAAAAGGCAGTCCTTGGGCCAGCTCGTCGGCAGTCTGCACGCAGCGCTGAAGCAGGCTGCAATAAATGATTACGCGGTCGGCCTCATCCTTGGGCAGGGGCATGTGTGCATGTGTATGCACTGCTGACGCTACGTGGCTTGCCGCGCTTCGGGCTTGCTGCCGCCCCGATGCTGTGATGGGGCAATCGTACAAGCGATCCGTATGCCGGTGACGCACCATGAATGCCTGGATGGCTTGATGGTCACGGCTCTCGTCCAGCCGCTCCGCATGCCGCACGATCAGCAGCCTGGTCGTGGCCATGGTTGAAGTCGGGTAAGGCAAAAAAAGGATGGAGGTGCCCAGGGCTGGCACCCGCAAAATGCACCCACGAGCCTTTCAAGTCCATGTCATGCATGGTTGGACGGTTCGTCCGCACCGGTTTTCAGCATGCTGACAAATCGTACCAACATAAACAAACGTGTTTGTCAACCCAACAAAGTTTAAGACTAAGACTGAGTTATGCAAACGAAATCCATTTTTGAACCAGTTTGCAGGGAACAACCAAAACCGGTGCACCGACCGGTTTTGGTTCTGCTCGGGCATTCCCTTCCTCGCGAATTTGTGGCCCGTGAGTGCTTAACACTTTTAGATAGGGTTTCATCTTTTGCTTGCCAAAAAAAGGAATGCTTGGAAAAGAGGAGAGGAACAAAGAAAATGAAAGCAACAGAGCCACCAACCCAGAGACAATCACTTTGACGCGGGCCTCGGTGTAAAGGGCGGGTTGATGAGTAGAAAAAGAGAACACATGTACACGCTCTGGCACACAAACAGTCAGATACACAGACACACACGGGCTGAGGCATCAACGCTGGTGGCACTAGTTTTAACCGGCAATGTCAGTTGCCTCGGTGACAAACTTGGAGCCATCGTACACGCTCTTGTACTGCTCGGGAAGAGGAAACTCGACAAAATCACCGTCATCCTTGGGAACGGAAACGTTGAGCTCAGACGACTTGGCCGTCACAATCTGGGCGTCAAGCGAATCCTTGCTGAGGTAGACCTGTGCGCCATCAGTCTTGTCAATGCTGATGGTGGCCACCTTGCCCGTGACCTGGATCTGCACGCGCTGGGTGTTGACCACCTCGAACGCGGCCACAACCGTGTCAAAGACGATACCAATCTTCTTGCAACCGTCAACTGAGATCGAGTTGATCTTGCCCTTGATCTGGATGGTGCAATCCTCGCACTTGTAGATGTAGGCTGTTTGCTTGTTGTTGCAGTCGTCAATGACCAGGTTGTGGTTGCCGCGCTGGTGCTCAATGACCCACTTCTTACCGGCCAGCTCAAAAACGGGCTCCTTGGGAGCCGCAGCGGCTGCGCCATACTTCTTGGCAGGGGCAGCTGCAGGCTTCTTCTCCGTCTCCGTGACGACTGAGGATGCGCGCAGGGCCGGGTTCTTATGGGTCATTTGGGATTTCTCGACCTTCTTCAGGCCAGAGGTAATGGCGCCACCCTTGGACAGCTCTGCAAAGAGGCCACCGCGGGCATCGCTTCCGGGCGCCGCCGCGGGGGCAGGCTTGCTCGGGGCAGGCGCCGCCGCTGCCTGAGTAGGCTTAGCGGGGGCCGCGGCACCTTGCACACTCGAGGCGTCCACACCATTGGGGTTCCAGACGAGCCCGGTGGTATGATACTGCTTGACAAATTGCTGGAGCTCGCCGAGGGCAGCCAACCAGGTCTTGGCCCATTCGGCTTGCTTGGGATCTGAGTCCTTGAAGTTCTTGAGGACGCGAATCACGTAAAAGTTGGCGGCATCGGACATCTCCTTCACGTAGGGTGCAGGCTTGGGGGCAATCGTGACCCAGCCGAGAGCAGGAATGCCCTCACTGACGGCGGACAGATGGTCAAACTGTGGGCTACGGCGGTTGCCCTCACGAAACTGAACAATGTCCGTGATGACACCCGAGGTGGGCTTGAGGAGCGAGCCCAGCTGCACTTGATCGGGCTGCTTGGCCTTGGTCGCGACCTCCAAAAAGGCGCGCTGAGCCGCAAAAGCCTGCTCAACCTTGTCCACCTGCGGAGATACACCAGTAAGGCAAGGCAGGCGGCGAGGCCATTGGGGGTGAGCGCAGCGATCCGTGATACCGTCTCTCCAAGCCCTCAACCCAGCGAAGAATCAAACCCAAAGAGCAAGACCACACTCAACCAGGAACACAAACACACACAAAAACCCTCAAAGCCATGCAAGAGCATAGCAACACATGAAGAGGTGAAGACAAAAGCGAGCTCAGCTCGCAGGGAACATTGCGCACGTACAATGGTAGCCACATCACCGCCGATGGCCTTGCCCTGGGCGACAAAGCTGGCCACAGAGCCATTCACAATCTAACAGGGGCCCGGCATGGGAGGTCGAGGCTGAGTATCACACCAGCCGCGGTGTTTGCGGGGCATGTGCGAGTGCAAATCTGTTCAGCACGTGAGGCTGAGAGGCGGATCCATGTCAGGTCGAGCGATGAACTGACCTCATCAAAGGCATCGAGCGAAGGCGTGCCACTGTCTCCGCCGGCATTGCCAGCAGAAGCAGCTGGTGCCGACGCCGACTTGGCGGCCGAGGCACCGCCCGACTGTTCGAGACGATCGGCCACCTAACGAGAGAAGACCAAGGTGCGCCGAGCCGCGTCGCGAAACAGCAGGAGCGATGAGAGGAAAGACGGGACGGGCACTCAAGCGAGATGCAGACGATATGGTGGTTACCTTTTCGAGGCGGGCAACGAGGGAAGCAAGGTCGGAGGACATGGTGCTGATGGTACAAAAGAGGTCGTAGCACAGAAAGCTGCGAGAACGTCGCGCACCATCAGCAAGAGGTGAGCCAAAAGCCGATGATGCTGGCTGTGCGCGCTCCAGTCAGTGGCGGCACTTTGTTCAGAGAACATGGGACCGAGTGCATTGGCATCGGGGCCGAGCCACCGCCTCCAGCTTGACCCAGATTCAGAAACCCATCAGCCAACCCCACGACCTTCTGCCTGAACCTCCGCGCCGCTGACGGCGAGACCAGTGGCACAACTCCAAAACGCACAAGAGCGTCGGGAGCGCAAGAGGGAGCGCGAGTCCAACTCACCAGTGAACAGGGAAAAATGCCCTCATCTATTGTTGTTTCCAATGCCCTCTCTTCTCCCCCTTTTTCATGTTGTGATGTTGGTTCTTGAATTTTTGCTGTTGCTGTTGCTGTGCTGTTGTGGTCTCGAGCGGTGTCTTGCATTGTGGCTTTTGTCTTTGAAATGAAAGAAAGGGTGAGGTAAAGTGAATCAGCAGAACGTGATTTTTACCGGCATTTTGGTTGTAATTTGGTTGAGATGTCAGACAAAAGCAACTTTCTGACATTCAACGCAAACAACAAGGATCACAACAAAACACGTCACACAACTACAAGCGGCTCGTGGGCGGGGCCTGTGCAGGGCTGGAGTCCAGGACGGTGAAAGCAAGCCCGGCTCCCTCGAGGCGCTGAACGAGTTGCGATCCCATGGCTGACGCCGTTGTCAGGAAGCCCGCGCGGTCGGGAAGAGTAGCTCGATCCCGTGCGAGACACAGGGCGCTCTCGGCCACCATGCGGGCCGTCATCCCATAGCCTGGGTCCTTGTTGCCCGTCACCTTGATCGTCGTCACACCAGCCTCTCCCTGGATGAGGTGAGCACGGAGAATGCGGTCAAGGAATAGGAAATAAGACAGCGGAAGAGGGCGGACCAAAAGGTTAGAAACAACAGCAGGGCCGGAAACAACAGCAGGGCCAGAGGTACAGCAAGGCGAGCAAAGTCATGATCCAAAGACCAACCTGAGCCTTGATGATATAGGTAAAGCTGCCTTTTTCTTGCTCTTCCTTGGACGGGCCTTGTCCAGACTGGGGCAACAGCTGCGAGACCACCGCCATGAGCCCCAAGCAAGTCTTTCCTTGAACGAGATATGACGTGCCACAACGCACCCGCTTCAAAAGTGGACGAGTCAGGGACATGTATGCTGCCAGGCCCAGACCAGCCAGGCTAAACGTCAAAGCTCCCGCGGAAAAGAGACTGGGATAGTAAAGGGTTGAAAGTCCCGTCAAGTGTTGTTACACACACACAAGGCCCATCTGCGCCGGGTAGTTTGACTGCTGCCACGATCAGCCTTACCCAGTCCACGTCGGAGGCATTGACATTTGTTCGCAGTACTGAAACTCGCGACCATAGGAGAACCCCGTCAGTGCGTTGCTCCAGTGCACCACCTACTCCTCCCGCGTTCAGCAATGGCCATTGACAACCGTGAGCAGCCGGCTCACGAATCATCAACATGGGTGAAAAAGGTGCATGCCATGCGCAGTGCTTCTACTGCTGCGCTCGACCGACCTTTGAATTGACTGTAGCCATGACAAAGGGGCACACATATCCGTCAATGTCCTTCGAGTAAAAGGGCAGGCCCTGACCCCCAAAGAAGGCATCACAACACAACACCACATGTGAGCAAAACCTTTGGCTCGCCAGCCCGTGCCAGAGACAAACATCATCGACGCACAACATCTGGCTGCCGTTGCTTGGGTCGATCCTCGGGGTCCACCATGGCATAAGGACTGCCAATCGCCCTGATAGAGAGAACAGAAAGGCCCAGAAATGCCCGAGGGTAAGTTGACGGCCAGTTTTCTTCTTCACGCGCCATGTCGTGGTGAGCAAAAACGGGAGCGTGCAGGATGGGAGCGGGCGGCTGGAAACTAACTTGCGCATCTGTGCAAACTCGTCACTGCTACGCTCAAACATGTTGATGAAGCTCTGTGCCGTTCCTGTAGCCAGATGCAAGCGACGGGCGCGCCACAAGGTTGCCCCCCACCCCATGAGAGGTGGCCAAGACCATGTGCCACAGCGCAATCAATTCGTACCACCGGAGACGCCGCCCTTGAGCTTGGTCACAAAGGTGTCGACTCGCTGGGGGTTGGCACCCGCATGCGCAGCTCGATATGCTTCGACGGCGCGCATGGTGCCCAGATCACTTGGAATCGAATCAAAGCCACTGTGGCGGTGCAATACGATTGGATCGGTGGGCAAAGCCATGAGCGCAGCAAGACCAGACCGCCTCATTACAATGCCCTCTCCCACTCGCGCCATACCATAGCGAGACAATCTTGGCGCCCGACTTGACAGCGGCCTCCTGGTATTGTTGCTTCATGATGGCCACCCACGGAATCTATGTGGCCAAGACAATGGCCATCAAGCCACAATGTAAGCTAGCGCCCCTCCTCAAAAGATCGCGGTGCCGATCTCATCCGAATGTCAGTGTGCTGACCTCGCCAGTGATGTCCACGTAATCCGTTCCTTCGGTGGCGCAGGCCTCCACAACCTGAGAACCAAACCTGCACGGGGTGTGGGACACAGATAAAGGCCGGAATCACACAAAAGGATTCTGCGCAGGCTGGCACGTGTGACCAGAGCAAGACCAGGCGAAGCTTGGCTGATGTCGGCGACATACTTCCAGAACGGGCCGACGGTGCTGAGTAGCACGCGGGTCTGGCGCGCGATGGCATGCAGGGCTGCACCATCGCTGCTATCTGCCACCAAAATCGGCAGCTGGGCCAAATGATCGCGCTTGCTAGGGTTTGCCGTCACCAGCTTGCTGCGCACCTCCTAAGCAGTTGCAATCACGTCGTGAGCCTCGGTCCACACAAAACTCGGCGGACTGTCACGCGTCTCCAACCTCCAGCTTGGTCTTGTTCCGGCCCGCCACGGCCCAGGTGATCTGACCCGCATACCGCTCCGCCAAATATTCGGCCACCAAAAACCCAGTAAAACCAGTCGCGCCATAGACAATCACGTCATAGGTGCGTGCGGCCGCCGCCGCTGCCGTTGTCGCCGCCATCCTGCCGCTTGTTCCGATGTTGACGTCCGTTTGGAGCTCAGAGAGAGAGAGAGAGAGAGAGAAGAGAAAGAGAGAAATAAAGAGCAAAGACACAAAGGAAAAGCACAACTACAGAGAGAAGAGAAAGAGAGAGAGAGAAGTCAGAGAGACCTCTTATCCACAGACGGACACGGTTGTTGTCGCTGTTTACTGAAAAGTTGTCGATGGCGTAGAGAATGCTAAGGTTCGTTGTGTAAATCAAGTTTGTGTTCATGTTGCTATTCTGGAGGTTCGTGCAGGTTCATTTCTTCTTCATTTTTTTTGTCTTCTTCTGGTTTTGTTGCGACGTTTGTGTGTGACGGGCGCGCGACGGCCTCGAGGCGGTCAGAGGGCACGCGCAGGGCGAGTCAGGCCTTGGCGGGCAAAAAGGTGGCAGGTGGTAGGGGTAGATGAGCCTGTGGGGGTGGTGTTTTATGACCGGGGAGTCTTTGGGTATGACTGCTTTCAGGCAGGCCAGCGTTTAAAGCAGCACAAACAACATGGCGGGCGCAGAGGGCAAGGCATCGGCCCAAACCTCGCCTGAACACGGTGGCACCATCCCTTTGGTCCATGGCATCAAATTCAAGCCTGGCAGCCGGCTGGATGCCCAAGACTATCTGGCCACCTGGTCAGTGACTGGGTTATGCGAGCCGTTCTTTATATTGCACTGGAGGATCTTGCTTCAAGTCTGGCGCAACATTCACGTGGCTGGTCTGATCAACGCTTCTGCTGATCGACCCCTCTGCTCCTCGCTCCTCTCCTCTATCCCGAGCAGGTACCACGCACGCGTCGTAGATGTTAATCCAGCACAACATCAAGCATTGATCCACTTTGAGCGTTGGAACAAGTAGGGACTCGACTCTGGCTCCCCGAATCGCCCTTCTCAGTGCGGCTGCACAGGCGTTTGGCTGGCTAGCCAAAGCTCATCTCGTGTGGCTGGCGCATCGCGCTGGCAGACGCTTTGATGAATGGATTGATTTTGATAGCGAACGCCTGCGGCCCATGATTTCCTTTGCTTCCCCTGACCGGGCCGTCGCCAATGTACGCAAGCTTGCTGATGGCCAAACTCGAGTTGTGCGCCTGCTGCGCCCTGGGCTCATTCTTTTCTTGCATCGCTTCAATCATGCCATGTTCATTTGGCCAAATTGTCGCCCAATGGGCTCTCTGACTCGCGCACAAAATCGCACACGTACAGCGAGCTGCCAATGAGTGCCAGGTTGGCGACATTGTGGCTGCCATGTGGCATGACGAACAATGGTACACGGCCATCATTCTGGTGCGACACGACGATGGCGAAGACCCACGTACGTCTGTTGTTGCTCTTCCTGTGCCACTCCCTTTGAGCCAGCTGGTCTTGAGACAAATCTGGTCTAGGGGTGCCCATCGTGTTTGGTTTGCCGCAACCCATGCTCACGTATCTGTCAACAACGGCGCAGCGTATTTTGACATCTCTTTCGACGACCCGAGCCGCACCAAAATTCTGCGTGTCCACCACTCGGATGTTTTAGCAGGAAAAAAGGGAAGAAAACTTCTCAACACCGTGGGCCATGAGAAACCCCCTCTTTATTCTGCCAAGGTCCCAGATCCCAATAAAGGTGCGCCCGCCCCCGCTTGCGAGAAACAGGCACACAGGCGCTGTATCAGGTTGAAAGCCATCCAAACCTTTTGCCCGGCTTGCATGCGCACGGACGTGCCACAAATCTTGCTTATTTTGCCTGTTTTTTTTGCTTCCTGGCTGCGCAACCACGTGGCATCACGGTGGTCCCTCCGGCCAATTCGCAAAAACTGCTGCTTCCTGGGTGTACAACATGCTATTCTGAAACTATGTCGCAGAGTCACGCACGGCCCGAGTGCTGAATCGAGGTACGTCGGATAGAGAGCGACCCTTTTTTCGGTCTCCGCAAAACGAGTCGATTAACTCACCCTTTTATTCGTTTTATTCGCGCAGCCAAACGGGGCTCAGATGATCAGGCTTCGCTGCGACTCAAACGTCTGGTCGACACTGCGGCAGAGGCATGTCGAAAGGCCATTGCCAACGACGAGGCCATTCGTCAAAATGCCAACAAGGCACCTTCTAAAAAGACCCCCAAACGCGGCACGGCAAAGACGCCCACCAAGGCCACACGCACCACCAAGGGTAGTGGAGCGACGCCAACGACAACAACGCGGCGCACCAGCTCACGGACGCGAAGCAAGGCTGCTTCGCGTGAATCCTCTGCACCCTCAAGTCCCGACGCCACGCTCGCCGGCGAACTTGGCGGCGAGACTTTAGCAACACAGCAGTCCTCGGGCGCAACACCCAGCGGGGATGCGGCCAAGCGTGCACGAGCAGCGTCAGCCGAGGTATGTGCATCTCACCAAGTGCCTCTACATGGATTTTCCACGCTCCTGGCAAGCCTTCAGGAGTTGCCACTTGTGTTCACGCCTCAACACCTCTTCGGCCTCTTTTCAGGGTGACGGTGCCGAGGGCACCACGCCATCCAAGGCCGCCGCTGTTACCTCCCCCAACTCAGACGGACGGCAACGTGGCCGGCGCTCAGCCCAGCGAAGCTCGGTAGAATCGCCAGCCTCACCCTCTTCTGGTTCTCTAGCCTGCTCCATCGATGGCTGTTCCAAAACTTATGCTTCGACCAGGTGTGTGGCGGAACAAAGCATGACCGGCCCTCCCGCGGTCGTGCCTGTGGGCTTTTTCATGGCGTCTCAGTAATGTGATCGCGGTTCAAATGATGTAGGAGCCTTCTCTTGCATCAAAAAACCGCCCACGGGCGCAAGGTAAGGCCACCTTTGCTTGAGACCACATTGAAAGCTTGTCCTTTTGATTTCACCGGTTTGTTCACGCATTCCTGCATCACGATCGAATGGTCTTTTATTCTGGTATCACTTTAGGCACTCAACCAACCACAAGTTGCCTCACCTCTTCGTGCCTCAGTGACTTCAAAAGAGACGCCTTTGACACCGCAAGCAGGGTCACCCATGGCTTCAGGTCCCACGACGCCCTCGACTCCCACAGATCCTCCGTCCCGACGTCGTGCGGCCTTGCGCTCCTTCTCAGCCAGTGCGGCGACAAGCGTGACTCCGGACAAGGCACCAGGTGCCCACGCAGCCCCGACAGGCTTGTCTGAGGCTGCTGGTGGAGAGAATACAGAAGACGCGGAAGCGCCGTCGGGCGAAGCGGCCCCAAAGTCGCATGGGGCGCCATCAAACAATGGGGCGGGCTCACCCAGCACCGAAGCCGCGACGGGTGCACGTCGCGCTGTTGACCAGAGTCGCGGTTCTGCGCAGCACGCACGGCGTTCTTCGGCCACGGCAACTCCCTCGCCCAAAGCCAGCCCCTCGCCCAAGGTCACGGTGCTCATTCATGGCAATCGGAAGAAAAACAAAAAAGGTAACATTGCACAAATGATGCAGCCAAGAACGCCAGATGCGCGGGCTACTATTTGCTAAAAACAAAAACCTCGATCATCACTCCTCATGCTTGCGGGATGCCGGTTTGTCATGACTCACAAGGAGGAGCAGCAGCCCGACGAAAACAGTCATCAACGAGCGTCGAGGATGTGGGTGCTGTCGTGCGGTGCATGTGTGGCTTCACTTCAGAGAGCGAGTTTATGATCTTTTGCGAGCGTTGTGGCACTTGGCAGCATGGGTAAGCATGCGTCGAGTGGACCAGACTGTCGAGGCAATGGCTTTGACTCGACCTTTGCGAAAACGCCTGGCTAGTTTCTCATCGCTGGGATGCATCATGACGTGGCGATGGCAGGGATTGTGCTGGGGTGGATGAAGACCGTGTTCCTGCAGCCTATACCTGCTACCTCTGTTTTGGCTCGAGGGCACGCGCTGGTGCGTCGGCGTCATGCGAAACAATCGTAAACTCAGTCTGGTCGAGGGCAAACCTGGCTTGTGTATTCTCACTTGTTTTCTTTTCATTGGGCAGCGCGATCGGCAGAGAAAGCACCATGGGCCAAGGCAGCTGGTAAGCTAACGCCCAGCCGGACCAAAGTGCTGGCTCCGCCGTCCAAGGTTGGTCACGCACGGATGGGTATGGACATTGAATTCCATATTGGCTAGTGCTACACGACTCAACGCACTGTACTCTGAACCACGTCTTAGACCTCAACCCCACGGCATTCGTCGGCACCATCGTGGACGTCGATGATGCCGATTGTATTGCGTGCTCTTGAGTCGGATCTGTTGACGTTGGTCAGCATCAACCGCGCCGTTGCCGTGCAGCTGTTGCGCGCTCGAGATTCGGATCGTCACGATGAGGCTAGCAAATGGGCTCAACAGCAGGAACTCATTAATCAACGCACCATGGACTTGGCTCGAGATCTTGAAAGTACGTATCTTAACACGTGTGTGTGTGTGTGTGTGTGTGTGTGTGTGTGTGTGTGTGTGTGTGTGTGTGTGTGTGTGTGAACAAAACGGGGTGGTTTGGCTTGGATAAGCGAGGGCACGCTACACTTTGTTGGCCACCTCTGAGCTGACGTATCGCCTCGTTGTTTTAGTGCTGGAGGAGTGCATGGAGCACCTGTGCGTCGCTGAAAGCAGCAAATCATCAAACGTGGCCTTGTTGCGACAGCAAGAGTACATTACTCGCATCAGGCAGCTCTACCAATACTATGACCGCCAAAATGCGTGTCCCCCCCTCCACAAGAAGGCAAAGCAGGGTCCCTCGACCGTGTCTGCCACGGCTGCTGCATCTACTCGGGAACAATCCATTGCGCACAGCACGGCATCACCAAGCTTGGGGCAGGCGCCTCAGCAGCTGAACCATGGCGTATCAGATCTGACAATTGCTGGCGGGGAGGCCAATGCAGATGAGCTGCTCTCAGAAAGCCGCCGCATCTTGGATCAGTTGATGGAGGATGGTCCGTGGTCTTCTGTAACACGCCCCGGAGACGACACGCATAGTGTTCTTGACGAGAGTGAGCCACCACCTGAGGTCCTGGATCTTGATAGTGAGGCACTGGAGCATCTTGCCTCTGTCACAGCACAGGCCATGGACCACGAAGCCATGTCTAAGACAGGTTTGGATCCGGCCAGCGCAAGCGTCGAAGCCTTGATCGAGTCTGGCCCCGAGCTAGGCGAGCTCTCATCCAAGCCGAACCAATCTACAGTGCCATCGACCACGCCGCAAGATGCCACTGAGCCCACGCAAGCAAGCCATGGCCCACTGGATACTGCTTTTAGCAGGCAGATAGAAACCTCGTCATCCAGTGTGCGTGATTCTGCTGTCAAGGCGGGTTTGGATGATTGAAATGGTTTGTGTGTGTGTGTGTGCGTGCGTGTTGAGTCAGTCTGTGGCCGAGGCGCATCTGTAGTGGAGTAAGCAAACAGGGTTTAATTGACTTTATCAGAATCGACTGCCTGCGAGTCACGGGGACTACGCAATACGTGGGCGCATTGCCATCTTGGCAATTTCGATCACGAGTGTACTCTGATAAAAATGATAACATGCTGGGCAACGCAACGCGAGACACGGCGGGGTTGAGAGGGGCCAATTACGTCATTAAGTCACAGAGACAGCAAATGGCACAGCAAGCGGCCATGCCCGCTAGAAAGCTCTCCCCATTGTTATTCTGACAGGCATCACAAGTACAGTGACAGGTGAGGTCGTGCTTGGAAAGCAAGAAATGTTGGAACGGATAAAGGCTGATGACACACCTGTTGCTGTGGGCGGCCCGTCTGAGAGCAAAGCGAGGGGGTACGTGGAAGGCAAGGGGTCAAGCAACAGCCAGCGGAGAGGCCACGAGTGAAACGAAAGAAGCGAGGTTCGGCGACCGAAGGATACGGGGGGTGAGCATAACGATTCGGGGTACCTGTTGCTGGTTCTGCTGCACATAGCCTTGCTGGGGATAGCCCTGCTGAGGATAACCTTGCTGGGGATAGCCCTGCTGAGGATAGCCTTGTTGGGGATAGCCTTGTTGGGGATAACCTTGCTGGGGATAGCCTTGCTGGGGATAGCCTTGCTGGGGATATTGTGGATATTGTGGATATTGTGGTTGGCCATAGGGTGGCGGCGCTCCATAGCCCTGACAAATCAATGGTGAGCCACGTGTGTCCTTCAATCATGACGAGCTTGCATTCAGGGAGCCAGCACAAGGGTTCACTCAAGGGTCAAGGGGCATGTGGTGACGTTGCGCCTACCTGTGGTTGCTGAGGTGTCGAGCACAAGACATTTGGATGAGGCAAGGCATGGTCTCACCAGCCCACAATCAAGCAAACGGGCCCATTCCTCCCACAGCGAGTATCAACGAGAACGCCGCCACGTACCGATGAAGTCGTCGTCGGATATCCAGGGGGCGGGGCAGCCATTCTCGTCAGTTCACAAACCTCACAAAGGCGCGCCCCGATGCCACTTGTCAGAAAATGATGACAATATGAATCGTCGCGGACGCGTTGTCATGACGTTGAAAGCTTCGAGTGCATTCATCAAGCGCACGACCACGACCACGACCACGACCACGACCACGACCACGACGTGATTTGGCAGAGCTGGAGCTGTGCGCGGCGAACACAGGGACATGGCGGGTCTTGGCAACAGTTTGACGGCGTTGGCGCAATTGCTGGATGGCAATGCGGATCAGCTGGATTTAGATTCGCCGGCTGGGAAGGGTTCTCCTGCAGCCTTCTCAGACCCGGGTGCCATCTCCAGGGCCGCCCAACCCTCTGGGACGCAACGGCGGGCACAGGCAGCGACAGCGGCGCGCGCCACGACGAGCCAGGCCAACAACCAGGGTACGTGGTCGCTGATGGTGTCAACCGTGGCTTAATGAATGAAGGTGCTTCGCAGAGCGACCAGAGTTGGGCCTCGAATCATCATCCGAGGTTTCAAGGCTTCCATCAGGGACTCACTTTCGAATGGGTGTCGTGGATAGCCATTTTCAATGAGGAGGATGTGGAGGATGCAGGTGCCCTGCCTGATGTGGACGATCCGCGCCCTACGCCAGAGTGAGACGACCTGGCCATTGGGTTTTTGCATGGCCTCTTGTTCCAGTGTGGGAAGGCTGATCAGCCATGCTATGGTCTGGTAGGTATGACATTGTGTATAGACAGGCCGTCTCCTCGGAAGATATGTATCTGGGCATGAGCGGCCGCAATCCTTCTTCAGCTGGCTGTGAGGAGATGGTGGTACGTTTTGACTTTTAGCGAGGACAGTCCCAACTCCGTCCACCACGCTCTGTTTTTGGATGACGGGGGCGTGCCTTCCGTTCCTTGACCCTGGCTGTGCACATTCAGGTCAAGATCCAGTTGCCAAAGACGGCTTTCAAAGATGTCACGCTGGATGTCAAAGCGCAACATCTGGATGTGCGCACCCCTGCATTTTGCCTGAACCTACCTCTCCCCCACCCGGTATGCAGCAGATAATTTGCTTATGGGGGCGACCATGCCGCCGCACACACCCTGGTGATGCTGCGACTCAGCCACTGACAACTGCCACGCGTCACTCACTGGGCGTTCGGGTTACAGGTGAAACACCAAGATGGGAGCGCCAAGTGGCATGGTGATCGCACCATCCTCGAGGTTGTCCTGCCCCTGAATCGGGAGCTCGAATTCTTACGAGAGGCCTAAAGTGGCGTTGAGTGCCAGCCTGTAGGATAATAGCAATGTCATTGTCATCCCGTCCGAGGCAAGGTGCCGTGTGTGCCGCATTGTGTGCCGCATTGTGTGTCATGACCATGCGAGGCCTGTTCCCCAGTTTACTAAGAGACCCACCCTTCCTTCCTTCCGTTTGTGCTTCAATGAACAAAAGAACCTTCTTTCGAGTCTGCAACTAAGAGCAAATGTGAGTCGCAGTTTGAGCAGCCATCACCCAGCATGTGTCGAGTATCTCACCAAGTAACGCCCTCTGCACACCATATCGCCGTGGGAGCGCGCACGTCCAGAGGTCACTTTCGGCAAAAAACGGATACCACACACACACACACACAACACAACACAACACAACACAACACAACACTGGCCTTCAGCCCGACTAAAGTTGTCGCTGACGACGGGGGATGGCGCAAGGCCACTTGTTCAATCAACAGCCCGAGGTGACCTCGTGGGCGACCGGGCTGCACGGACCGGACCTTCTTCTTCGTCTTGGTCCCTGACGCACATGTGAGTGAGGGGATCGCGCTCAGGGGTTGTTGGAGCATCGGTGTTTCTAGCGTGCGTGCGTGCGTGCGTGCGTGTTTTGCCTCCAGGATTCAGGATTCAGGGAACAAAGTATGCTCATCTTGTCCTTTCGCTGACTTTGCAGCCAATATGGCGAGCAGAGCCGTACAACGGTCACTCCGTGACCTCGCGCAACGACTGCAGGTCTATCGCAGTCAGCAGGCAGGCCCTCTCACCGCAGCAGAGAAAATCTTGGCCGCTCATCTTCACCCAGAGGCGGTATGTTTCTCCCCGCAGGCAGTGGTCGCGCGATGCCGGCATTCATCACCCTTTTGTTGATATTTTCTGCCTTGGTCGCAAACGTAGGCACGCTTGGATCGCGGCAAGTACAACCTCTTCTACCCTGATCGAGTCAATCTCCAAGTGCGTGGGTCGGACGAGCTCATTCATCAATCGAGCCAAGAGTGATTGTTGGCCGCGTCTGTGCTTCCTCACCATCAATCATACACCATGGTCAGGATGCCTCAGCACAAACAGCACTCCTGCAGTTTATGCTCACCCGCGCGCCAAGGTCAGTCCATTCATGCATCTTCGCTCCCAAATGACACCATTGTCGAGGTAGTGCAAGCTCACAACGCGTTGTCTGCGCCCGTCCTTTCCTGGCATGAATAGTGTGTCCGTGCCTACCAGCGTCCACTGTGACCACCTGATTGTTGGCTCGCCAGAGGGCGCGTACGTGAATTGCTGCCATCAAGGCACCTTGTCAAATCGCCACCCGCCGCGCTTCATTGGTAACTGCTGGCTGACCACATCGTTTTGGGTTGTCGCAGGGACCGTGACCTAGCCCTGGCCAAGGATCAAAATGAAGAGGTCTTTTCGTTCCTGGAGTCGGCTTCCAAGCGCTTCGGTGTTGCTTTCTGGCCTCCCGGTGCGCGCTTCAAATTGTCGTCACGCCTGCCTTGACCGCACCTTTTATTTCGCTACCAAATGCAGCGTAAAATTCCGTTCTCATGTGCCATTCGTTTGCGGTTCCCCACCGTCAGGCTCGGGCATTATCCACCAAATCGTGCTCGAGAATTACGCCTCACCCGGCATGCTTATGATTGGATGTGATTCGCACACCCCCAACGCGGGTGGCCTCGGTTGCCTGGCCATTGGAGTTGGGGGTGCGGATGCCGTTGAGGTCATGAGTGGTCAGCCTTGGGAGCTCCTTGTCCCTAAGATTATTGGTGTAGAACTCAAGGTACATTGTTCATCGTCTGCGGCCCTTGCCATCGAGAAATGTCATTCTGCGTGCGTCGCACTCCAAGCCCATCGCCTTGTTCTCACTGCTCTTCAATCATTGCACTAGGGTCGCTTAAACAAATGGTGTAGCGCCAAAGATATCATTCTGCATTTGGCCGGTCAGCTCACAGTCAAGGGTGGAACAGGACATATCATTGAGTACTTTGGCCCCGGCACTCAAACTCTGAGTTGCACGGGCATGGCCACGATTTGCAACATGGGTGCCGAGGTGGGTGCCACCACCTCCATCTTCCCCTACGCAGAGCCACAAGAAGGTACGCCTCGTTGGGACTGAATTTACAGCAACTGCACGCGTGGATACTTTGGACGATCCAGCCAAACTCGATCTAAGCGTCTAAAACACACGCGCATAGACACACACACATACACACACGCATGCATGCAGTTTGCTGTTGGCGCTCTCCTCTCCTCCTGGCCCTGTTTCAACGCACGTCTCATCTACATTCTCATCGCCATCTTCTCGCATTCCCATGCTGATAGCCTATCTGCGCTTCACGGGTCGTGGCGCTCAGGCCGACGAAGCCAATGCCGTGGCCCACGATCTTTTGCGAGCTGACCCTGGGTATGTTTTGCTGCGCAGAACTTTGGCTTGACTCTCAGGATCATTTACTTATCCATGATACACTCTTCTTCTTGGCTTTATTTCTGCACCACGCACACGCTCTCATCTTCTCTCCCTCCCCTTCTCATCGAACGTGTCCATCTCTCGTTTTTGCACTCTCCAATTGCTACACGCGACGTTCTTTGATGACATTACTGCATGTCATAGTTGTGCTTATGACCAAGTCATTACTGTGGATTTGGATCAGCTCGAGCCGCACTTCAACGGACCTTTCACTCCCGATTTGGCCACGCCATTGAGCGCGTTTGCCAATCAGGCGCGCGAAAAGCAATGGCCTCTCGAGCTCTCGGCAGCGCTAATCGGTAGCTGCACTAATTCCAGCTACGAGGACATGACCCGAGCTGCCTCTATTGCACAGCAAGCAATCGACAAAGGCCTGACTGCCGCGGTCCCCTTTTTTATCACTCCGGGCTCGGAGCAGATCTTGCAAACGTGCCGGCGGGATGGCGTCTTGGATGTCTTGGAGCGTGCTGGGGGTACCGTGCTGGCGAATGCGTGTGGCCCATGCATCGGCCAGTGGAGCCGTCCAACCATGGAGGACGGCGTGCCCAATAGCATTCTCTCATCTTTCAACCGCAACTTTGCTGGACGCAACGATGGCAACAAGCAGACCCACAACTTTTTGTGTTCGCCGGAAATCGTGACTGCCATGGCATTTAGCAAGTCTCTGACGTTCAATCCCCTGACAGATAGTCTTTTGGCGGCAGATGGCACTTCGTTCAAGTTTAGTCCCCCGGAGGGCGAGAGCCTCTCCGCGGCCGGCTTCGAGAATAACGTGGTGAAGCCTTCCGCTGTTCCAGAGCCAGACTTGAGCATCAATGTGAGCATTGATCCAACGTCGACGCGCCTGCAGCGTTTGGATGCTTTTGCTCCATGGGATGGACAAGACTTTCAGAATTTGCGTGTCCTCATCAAGGTGAAGGGCAAGTGTACGACGGACCACATCTCTGCCGCGGGGCCGTGGCTCAAGTACAAAGGTCATCTGGAGAATATCTCCCAGAACACGCTGATCACGGCTGTCAACGCTGAACATGACCGACTCAACTCAGTACGCAACTATCTTGTTGACGGTGAAAACTATGGAACAATTCCTGAAGTGGCCGCCGCCTATCGAGATGCAGGCGTGCAGTGGATCATTGTTGGTGATGAAAACTACGGTGAGGGGTCAGCTCGCGAGCACGCGGCCATGCAGCCTCGCTTCTTGGGCTGTGTTGCCGTTGTGTGCCGAAGCTTTGCTCGCATCCACGAGACAAATTTGAAGCGTCAAGGCGTGTTCCCGCTGACTTTTGCCGACCCCAACGACTACGACCAGCTGTGCTCAAGTGATATTGTCGACTTGATTGGGTTGAGGCCCGGGGAAGCCCCAGCGCTTCGCGTGCGTCGCTCAGAGCAAGAAGAAGAGTTTACCGTGCCGCTTCGCCACACGCTCAGTCCCATTCAAATGGACTGGATTCGCAGCGGCTCCGCTCTAAACTACATTGCCCAAACCATAGCGGCAGCATAGTACTCACCGTGAAGACATCCCTGAGTCTGTGCCTCACCCCAGGCTCGGATACTCATTAATGGAAGCAGGAAAAAGCAACATCGTTAGGCAGGAGGATGACCCAGCCAATGTTAAAGGTGGCGGTGTCTTAACATGGACACTATGTGGTTATCTTGTCTACCTTTTTTTTTTTTTTTTTTTTTTTTTTTTTCCATGATCCCTTTTGACGCTTTGAGCTTGAGATGTACGTGAGTTGATTAGTTAGCAATTTGCCCACGAGGCACCATCGTTCTCGTGTTTATTCATTGACATGTGAAATCGAAAACAAGCTTCATTGGTGCTTGAGCACCCGCATCTTCCACGTGCCTGCGGGGAGGAGAGGGTCATTGTTGCGGCTGAACAGAAGCATCAGATCGCACGAGGGAAAAGAAGGACGCACCGTCAGCTTGAAGCCATTCGTAGGGTGTGATCAGTGTGATAGGGGCATCGTCTTCAGGGAAACGGATGGTGCTTGAGCCTCGGTTGGCATGCTGAAGTTCGTTCCATCAGGAAAGTCACATGGCCATTAGCCCACGGCAAAAGGATAAAAATTGTGCAATCTCTCGAGGCGGTTGAATCCTCACCTCCCACTCGCCCAACTGCTTCAAAAACCCAGGGTTAGGGTTGATGTATGGGCGCTTTGAGTGGACATAGTCGTAAGCCTGGACATCACCACAGCAACCAGGTTTGGGTCAACAATTAGCATGCAGGAACAGACAAGGTAGGTTCACGGTATTGCCGCCTTCCCTTCAGGAGGCGGCAGTTACAATGACAAGGCGCCATACCTGTTTGAGGGTCATGTCATGAAAATCCATCATCCAGAGAATGGCCAGGGCTGACGAGCGACTAGGGAAGTTTGCAATTTGGATGATTTTGGGCATGAGGCAGGCATACGCCCATGGGAGGCAAAAATGAGAGACGCTAATGACAGCGGCAGTCACGACACAGACCTCATGCCCATTTGACAATGCACGAGCACGCGTTGACCCTCGCCTTGGGCCTTGCGCACAAAGGCGATAAAGTCACCAAAAAATTGGCTAAGATCATGATCTGGCTTGTCGTCCAGCGGGCAGTGCAGATACTACAGACGAGCGAGTGCGTGGGCGAGTGTGCGGCGGCAACGCGGGAGTGAGGATACGGTTGAAATATCATCTTTTGATCGGTGTTTGCCCTGCCCAGTAATACAACGGCATCCAACGGGTTGCAAGATTGCGATGCCGCACCACGGCTTGTTGGTCAAAGGGCATGTCACACGACGCGGTGGCATTAACGATTCTAGTTATGTTCTACAACAGCAATAAGTGGTGAGACGAGGCAAGACATGGTGCCTGCGCGGGCTTTCGCGTCTGATATGGCCGAACAAAGGCCTTACTAAAGCCTTGAGAGCTTCAAGATTGGAGGCTGACTTCCAACTGCCCAGGAATAGAAAGCCATCCTTGATCTATGGACGACAGGGCGTTGACTTTGCATATGCTTTCTTTCAGAAGAAAGGAAACAAAAACAAGGGCGACCCAGCATGGCAAGGCAGTGCTGTACGTACCTCAGAAGGGAATTCTGCGTCGGTAAAGGCGGGATGGCCCTTGACCAGGAAGGGGTACGCCTCCATAAACTGGCGCAAGCCACCTCGGAGCTTGTGGACCGTCTAAGATAGCAGGCGATAGCACAGACATTGAACTGCGGTGGGAGGGGGACAATGCTCGGCGTCGGCAGGTGACACACTTACGCGCGAACACCGCTTCTCTGTCTGCAAGGCTGCTGAGAAAGAGGCCAAGGTGGTTGCTTCGGCCTGCGGTGGGGGAGCAAAGGATTGCGTTGCAATGAGGCTTTGTTAGACTGGACCGGAGTCCTTGCCGGAAGGAGAAAGGGTGCCGTCGCGATCTTGAGTGCCACCTCGGGTGTTGATTCGTCGTCGTAGAGCACAACGTTGAAGAAGCGACGATGCCAGAAGCGCTGGTGCACGGTCGCTTCACAATCCAGCATGTCTGCACAACGAGGCGTGGTCATGAGAGACTGGGTTCTGGCGGGTGCCAAGAAAATCCTTTCATTTCGTCTCGATGGGCATGGATCACCTGCCAGCGACAAATCTTACCAGCGCATTCAAGAGCTTCCCAGTCAACAGATATGCTAGAGCGCACATGCTCGCTGCGTGCACGGCACGGGGGGTGGGTTAGGAAGCAGTCAAACCAGAAACAAACAGGTGGCACTCGCAGCATGAAAGGCAAGCGACCTGTCGTAGGCGGCATTGCTGCGCACGTCGATGACCAGAAGCTGCGAACCAAACTGGGGTGGGCACGGGGCATCCAGGATGAGAAACACAAGCCTTCTTGACACACTGGAAATGGCCACGGGTGCTCGCTGTGTGATGTGGTTGTGCATGAGCAGAGCAGAGGCTGGTGACGAACCTGCAAAAGGTTATAGAGGTCGGAGGCGTTGATCCAGTCAAAGTGCACTTCGTGAAAGACCTCTGGGCCAAAGTCGGGGGGTGTTGAGGGCCGCACAGGCTCGATGGCTTCGACTTTGTCCACCCGGGCAAACAACACCGAATTGAGGTCAGACCCATCGTGTTTGTAGGCTGGACCCGAGGGCTTTGGGGCCGGTCCCGGCGGCGGCGGCGGTGGTGGCGGCATGCTCTGACGTTCCGAACAAGAGCTGTGCGTTTTTAACTTTGGATCTTGATGTACTCTCTGCCAACTTCGAGCGGCCTGTTGAGCATCAAAAAAAAAAAAAAAAAAAAAAAAAAAATAGCACCGGACCAATGAACTCACTGTACCCAAACAACCTTCAATGACGGTGCCTGCGCGCGCAACCGCGCTTTTTTTTCTGACAATACGAGTGACGAGTTTGTCTGACGTTCGAAAGGGCCAGATTTGCTTGCAGACAACCAGAAACGTTGTTCAGCAAAAGAACAACGCGCAATTTGTTCGTGTAGTATCCCACTTGGCTATGCCCTTTGGTTTTCCAGTGGATCCAGTTGTCACTCGCGCACTTGTCTCGACCATTTCACTCCCTCTCTCCCTCCTCCTCCTCTTCCCGCGGGCGACTCGGGCGGCGACTCGGCGGGTTGAAGCAGAGCCAGCCGGCTCCTTTCTTTTGATTGTTGGATCCGTGGGCGGCGTGTTCTCTGACCCTTTCAAGGTCTCGCCATCATGCCGGTATGTCGGTACCTCTTGACGTTGCCTGGGGTTTTCAATGCATGTGTTATGTTATGTTGTGTCAATTTGTGGTGTCGATCAGGCCACTGGCCTGTGGTTCTCTGGCGCTCGCCACTTCCCACCGTGAAGAAAAGAAAGGTTGAAACAAAACTTGTAGCTGTTCAGCGCCCTCTTGTCTTCATGGCACAACCGCTCGACCTGAGCAGTGGTTGTCTCATTGTTTATGAGGCGCAAGAAAGATTTACAGTGCTTTAGTTGGACACCCGTCTTGTGTTTTGGTAGCGATTGTCCTGGTGGCGCTGTGACAGTTGGGCATGCGCCTGCTTTCTGATTTATCGTGTCGCTTGTTGCCTTTGACTAGGCTTACCACTCATCGCATAACCAACGCCAAGGCGTCAAGCTTGTGGGTGGCGTGGCCCTCTTACCTTTCCATGCGCATCATACCCGAGGCCCGGCTCCTCGACCAGGTACCGCTCTTTGCGTTCCTTCCCTTGAGATGCTCTCGTTCTGCGTCAAACGGTTGCTTTTCAATTTTGGCTTGTGTTTCCTTGCACAATCGTGCTAACCGCGGCTCTATGGCTATCTTCTAGGCCCAGAGGATGAGGTAGACATTATCGATGAAACTCTCAAATTCTTCAAGGCCAACGTTTTCTTTCAGAGTTATGAAGTCAGGGGTCCAGCAGATCTTCTGCTGATCTACCTCACTTTGTACACGCACCAATGCATCATGCGCGTTGCCAAGGTTGGTTGACGCGTCGATGGCCCTCGAACACTTCCGCTTTAGTGTGTCTCGGCAGTCTCAAACGCACACAACGTGGACACTGCAATTGACAGACTACATCCAAAGACGGCGCACAGCGTGCTCTGTTCCAGCTCGCTCAAGAGAACTTTTCGGTGCGTTGCACCGATCCTCAATTCGGTCATTGCATTTTTATACAGCTTGGTTGTGATGTCCTTCTCACGCTCAGGCAGAAAACTTGGTTCCTCAAGTCTCACTTCTTGGTGTGTCGGTCATGGCAGCTACCCTGCGATTCGGGCTTTCAGTTGAGCTCTTACTACCAACCTCTCTCGAGCAAATCGGACGGCGGTACGTTTATCGACTCAATTGTGTGCTGCCTCACTTTTTGTATTGCCATCTGGTCATACGGCTCACTTCTTTCTCTGGTTGTTTTTTTTTTTTCTCGCCACTGCAGATGAATTGCGCGCCTATCTGAAGCAATGTCGCGAGGAATTGGGCAACCGCCTTGCAGAGCGCTGCTGTGATGCTTCAGATAAGCCCTCCAAGGTTGGTTTTATTATTATTAATTTTTTTTTCCTCCTTTCGTTACCATCCGTTCTCTACTGGCCCCCTCCCTTTCTTCCCTCTCCATCTCCTCCTCCTCACGCACACACACCGTTCATTGCCTTATTCGCCTTTAGTGGTGGGTTTGCTTTGCCAAACGCAAATTTTTGGGCAAGTCGCTTGAGGGACCTGGCTCGCGCTAAGCGCGCTGCCACTCAAGCGTCAATGACACGTAGTATTGTTTTTCGGTTCATCCCATTCGGGTAGATGGTTGTTTCCTTGTTTTCTCCTTGGCCCCAGGTCTACCATGGCTATGCATCGGAAGGATGGCGTGTCAAAAGTTGTCATGATGTTGTTCACGGCTACTTCAGTGCCGCTTCCCACTCCCCCGTCCTGTGAATGTTTGTTTGGTCAAGTGTTTTGTCTTCGGGGCTTTTTTCACCCTCTCTTCTCTGCTTTGCCCTTTCCTTCCTGATAATAAATTCAAAGTGCGCTTTGCTTTCTTAAGAGCCAACGCTTTGTTGGCTCGTTTCTACACGAATGCCAGACTGCTTCGCAAGGAAGAAAAAGAGCGGGGTTGTCAGTGAGAACCAACAAAAGTTGAAAGAACAAAAGAAAATACAGACCAACACGCGTTTGAACAACCATGCATTTGACCGTTACCGGACCACACTACGACGACACTTGGGTGAGTGAAAGTTGACAAGCCCAACAACTGTTTTCGGCTCAAGGCACCCACCCGCTGAGCAAGTGGGTGCAACCGACACTGGCATAATTGGATATTTGCATTCATTGCCGTGCAAGGCACTTGGACTGCCTCTTTTTGCGCCAAGTCTCAATGTGTGTGCTGGTGCGAGCAGATGTGTTGTTGCATGTGTCGCTTTTGAATCTCTAGTTCAGCTTCTTTGCTCGCCCCAGATGGAAAGGCATATCTGACACACATCACATAGCGGCGAGGGTAGGTTACCACGGCACTCGGCGGCCAATACACGACGGCAAAGGCTTGCGCTATGAGTGCTGTGACACCACCAAGTCGCGCCAAGCGCACTCGCCAGCGAAACGTGAGCGTGGACGCCGAGAGCAACGCACGGGCTAAAAGCTCGAGCACAAATGAAAACACCAACGAGCGTCTCGCTCTTCATCCACCGCCATCACCAGCAGACATGCACGATTCAGCACAAATGCCCAAGCTCGCCAAAGTGAGTCGCATTGCTTTAGCGGTCCTGGGGCCGACCTGTCTTGGAGCTGCAAATCGAAACCGAGCAGGGCCATTGCACCTCATCTCTCATGCTTGTTCTTGCTCATCCACTTCATAGCGTTCACCCCAGTTACCACAGCCTGTCACGATGACCACCTGTCAATCCTCAACAGGTACTTCATATTACCAACCCTGTACCCAACAGCAACGTGTGTGATCGACTGCCGCCGTTTTGATTGCGCTTAAAGAGTGCATGACTTTCCATGAATTGCTCAGAGATCCACGAAGGCGCGGTTGGCGGAGTTACGGACACAAATAACGACAATTGCACCGCCTGCATGCTGGGTGGAGACCTTGTGTGCTGTGAGGCTTGTGCCAATTCTTTTCATCCCTTTTGCTGGTCAGCTGCACTGCTCAAACCCGTCAAACTGCCGCTGTGTCTTTTTACTCAAACTCATGGCCCATCATTGTTGGTCGCTAGCGCTCACCTTGTTATTGCATCCTCTTTTCATGATTGCTCTTGCGATGATACCAATGCCTTTGGACTGCTGCAGCGAGCCTCCTCTAGACCCCGATAAAGTGGCTGATGGAGATGACTATTTCTGTCGCTCATGCCGTGCTCGTTCCTTGGTCGGTAGAGCCAACCCGGGTGGCTTGTGCTCACACGAGGGTTTCCTCACTATTTCCCTTTTTTGTCACCTATGACTGCAGCCTTCAAATCCCAGCGTTCTTCCGCCCTTATTCACAGCCATCATGAATAAATTGCAAAGCACCAATCCCACCGCCTTTCTGCTTCTTGATTCAAGCAACAACATCCTGGAGCCGACCGTCGTATCAAGTAAGTCAGAGCAGAAAGACAAGATCCTTTTAGTTCATTTTATTTATTGATTTGATGCATGCGGTCCAAGGCTTTTGATCGACTCGCTGGCACCGATCCACGCTGCGATAATATGATAACATGTGACAAATGTTTTAGGCTCTACCCTTCGCGCAGCGGTGACAAGGGAGGAGCAAATGAAGAAGAATGGCAGCAATAGTCTAAGTGCAGAAGAGATGGAAGCTCTCTCGCAATACACAGCCACCTATCCAGAACGTCTTCTATGTTTTGGCTGTAAACGGTGTGTTGATTCTACCGCACTATTTAGGACACCATGCCGCGGATTTTAAAATATGAATGCCTCCTCATGCTTGCCCCTTATTTGTAGTGCTTGTACACTCGACAACGCTCTCCAATGCATCGATTGCAAGGTGTTTTTCCATCACGCTTGCGCAAGCCCCCCAGTAGCATCACACGCCCGCAATATCCGCTGGCGCTGTCATTTGCACCCGGTAGCTCCAATGCTCCACGATCATCACACTGCCACGATGACCTGATGAGCACCCTTTGAGAACACTGCTAATCGTGCCTTTTGACTGATTTTTCTTTAACGCAGCGGTTAAAAGCAATACCCTCACGCGGGCACGACCACGATGAGCCACTCACGTCTCGCTCAATCGTGCCACAGTTCATCCAGCTTGCTCGTCGGCAAGTATCTTCCCGTGTTGCGACTTGAATTGTCTGTTATGGGTCAATGTCCTCACTCAGCTCGTGTGCTGCTCGTGGATTTGAATACAGGCGACAAGCTGGCGCCTTGCTTTTAGACAACAATTTTGGGCATTCTGACGTGCTCACGGCGTTGGAAGGAATTGTTGACGATATGCCCGAGAATGAGCTTCGGACTAGCGTCCGTTGTCTGCGGCAGTTGCTGGTGAGTGTTCAATGTGTTCAATGGCAACGCATGTTTTTTTTTTTTTTTTCATCAGTTGGTGTCGCTCTTGGTTCATTCGACGTGATGAAATGCGTACAGGAAGCACCTTCGTCCGCCTATCGCGATGCGTATGCTTTGGCTCATACAGTGCAGGCTCTGCAAGAGGAAAGAAAAACAGCAAGGCCCTCGCGTGCCAAAGCGGTGGCTTGTTCCCCTCAGCCCCCGTGCACAGCAACTTTCGAGACTGAAGAAAGCATGCGGGACGCTGAGCGAGCAACCGTTCTTAGCGAGCGCGATTGGCTCAGCCGACTGGTGACTAAGACCATCGTTCCAGAGGAGGCACCGACGTCTCTCAGCCCCAAAGACGCACATATGGTATTGCTCGACTCTCAATAAACTCGGACAAGCATATCATGTCGCCTTTCAACTCGCGTCGTGTTTGCCTCAACTAAACTTAACCACGTTGTGGCATTGACTTGCTGCTTGTTGTATGTAGCGCATCATCGCGACAGGTGAATGTTTCTTTTTTGTTCCAAATGAAGCCACTTCACAGCAAGACTGTGCGCATCTACGGTGCGTAGGGATGGCTCGACAGAATGCGAACTTTCTTCGCTCATATTCGATTCTCGTTTTCTACTCTTGTAGAATTGGTACTGACCCATCAGCGGAGCTGTGCCTGCTTGAGCTTGACAATACGGAAGACGAGAATTTGCCATTTGTGCCTTGCTGGCCTGTTCTGACTGATCCTACTGGCAATGTTGACGTGGAACTACAACGCAACGACCTACAAGAGTGAGTTTTCAATCGGTTCATAACACCCCTGAAAGAACCAAAGTCACTACTGACTGACTCTCTGTGTCGCTCAGAGTTTGGATGCTCACGCGGAGCGATCCAAGCTTGGTCCGCCACAATGATCGAAAACTTGAAGATGTTGAAGCGCCGATTTTGATGCAACATGGAGACCTCCTGGAAGTCGCTGGAGTCAAAATGCAGTACAGCGAGCTTGCTCAAGCCTCATGAGTGGTGTTTGGGCGGAAAGACTCGAGTCTTCATCTCTCACACGGGAACTTTTCGGGTCCTCGAGACAAATTCTCGTTGGGAGTCATTGTTCAGCTTTTATGCCAACAATTTGAGCTCATTTATTACGAACCAATTGTGACCCCCCTCTCCATTTGTTTTCAGCTTATATCATGGGATTAGAGGAAAACCTGCTCGAACCTTGCGAGCAACACAACCGAGGTGAAAATGAATGCTATGCTGTCATAATGCAGGCCCGTGCAGACTACCTTATGTGTGAAACAGCAAGCGAGATCAGATGCTACCAGGCTTCACGGCGTGTGGAGGCCAGTTTTGAGTTGCAAGAAAGTGCATGGTGTTGAGAAAGCGTTCTGAAAGAGCTTCGAGGGACGTCCGTCGTGACGAAGCGGAAGATTGGTTGGCATCTCAAGGCCAATTGAACCAAACTGCAGTCGGCCTGTAGAGTCGCTCGATGCTAATTTATATGCGAAGGGAAAGGGTAAAGTGCAACTCGTGCCAAACCAGAGATGCCACAACAAGAAGCGACAGCGGTTGTCTCTGGAGGCTCGCATCTTTACGCAGGCCAACACCGGGGGCTTTGGCCTGCACGACTTGGTTGAGCGCGGTCCGGTGGCTTATGTCTGCAACATGGCCAAGCTGGCCACTCGCTACCCTCGGGTCTACGATCGGCTCTTAGAGGATGCATCGAGGGCTGCCGACTTTGAGGTAATAATAAATTAGGTGTTTGAACCTCAGAGCCGAAAGCAAAGCTGTGCAACCCCGATAATAATAAATTAGGTGTTTGAACCTCAGAGCTGAAAGCAAAGCTGACATCAAAATCACGACGGCACGCAAAACAACACAAGAGAACAAGACATTTTCATCGGCTCCTATCATGCCGAGGAGTACAAGCGCGAAGAATTACGCACATAGAAACAAAAATCGTACAAAACGACCAAGTATAACCAGAGATACGGCCATTTCAAACACTAGACACATAAAAAGGCAGTCACACATCACAACTACAAGCCATCACAGCACAAACATAAAAAACACCACGGCACGCTCACATACAACAAGAGACAGCGTCGGGTTGAGGTCCACGTGCAGCGAGCTGGCTTCCAGATGGCCACGGTCAAGGACGCGGCGACCCAGCGACCAGCTGAGATCATTGCCCTCCGCTCCAAGGCGGCACTGGACGACCTGATGGCCAAGTGTGCGCTGGACCTGCAGCAGGCATATCTGGCCTCACGCGAGTGGGGCGTCAGCACAGTCTTGACCATGCGGGGTCGAGACAAGTTGCGTCGCTTGAGCGACACGACCTTTGCCATTGCGGTCGTGTCCATGATGGGTTTTGGCCTCCATGAACTCATCAACATCAAGCCGACGGACAAGTGCCCGCTCTGCAGCAGCAAGACACCTCCGCGACTGACCCGCGAGCACCTGCTGACCTGCCGTCCCATCAAGCGTCACAACGCCCTTCGCGACGAGATGGGCCGCCTGCTCAGGTACGCCACCCTCTCCCATGTCTGGGTGGAAAAGTCTGGCTACAACGCCAACGGTCAGAGCTGCCGCATCGACCTGCACTGCCGCAACCCCTTTCCCGGCGGTGCCTTGGGCCCAGCTCTGCCCGACCTGGGCATTGACGCGACTGTGCGCACAGCCCAACCCCCGACCACCTCGCAAGCCTGCATCAAGGTGGGCGCTGCCCTTCGCCGAGCCGAAAAGGAGAAGCGCGAGTACTACACCGGTTTCAACCATGGAAAAACTCTGATCGTCCCTGCGGCGATGACGACAACCGGTGGGTTCGCCTCCTCCTTTGTGGATCTGCTTGGTCAGCTCGCCCGCTGCGCCGAGGCCCGTGGTGTGTACCAGCCGGGGCTGGATGAGGCCTTTGTTCCTCGGTGGAAGGGTCGCTTTGCGGCTCTGGTCCATCAGATGAACGCTGACCACATCCAGCGCCACTTTGGCGGTGTCTGCCTGCGCTCGTCGTAGGTAGGCACCGCCTCGGGGTTCCCTCTGTGGGGATCCCTGTGTGCACCTGTCGCTCCCAGGGTGGTTCCTCGTTGTGATCTTGTATTTTTGTTTTAATTTTGCTTTGATTTTGACTGTATTTGTGTGGTATTTTTGCTGAATTTTTGTAAAGTCCTTTGTATGATGTCTTTGTCTTCTGTGGCCGGTTGTTTTCCTCAATCCGACGTTGTGTCTCGTTGGATGTGAGCGTGCCGTGGTGTTCTTTGTGTTTGTGCTGTGATGGCTTATACTTGTGATGTGTGACTGCCCTTTCGGGTGTCTAGTGTTTGAAATGGCCGTATCTCTGGTTATACTTAGTCGTTTTTCATGATTTTTGTTTCTATGTGCGTAATTCTTCGCGCTTGTACTCCTCGGCATGATAGGAGCCGATGAAAATGTCTTGTTCTCTTGTGTTGTTTTGCGTGCCGTCGTGATTTTGATGTCGGGGTTGCACAGCTTTGCTTTCGGCTCTGAGGTTCAAACACCTAATTTATTATTTATTATATCAGCAATCTGTTGGGACCAACAGATGCCTCAACAAGATGGTACAACCAGATGTTACACAACAAGGTGGGACAACATCAAGTACCAGAGGACACACAACGTGGTAAAGTATACCGTCTCAGATTGTGCCTCTAATACTCCCCTTCAAGCTGAGAACGGAAGAGCATGTCACACAAACGACGATGGCTCGGTCCATTGAGCAGCTTGGTGAGAAGGTCAGCAACCATGTCCTTGGTCCCGCAGAACCGACATCGAGCTGGTTGCGTTCATACCTCTCTTGCACAAAGCGATACTTGACAGCAATGTGCTTGGAGCCCGGAGAGTTGGCTCCGTTTGTAATCATGTGGATCGCCGCCTGGTTGTCACTGAGCAACACGGGCTTGAAGACGGCGTGTGAGAGTTCACGAACCAAATGATCAACAAACATAGTCTCGCTGGCCGCAGAGTAAGCAGCCATAAACTCGGCTTCAGCAGTAGACGTGGCAGTGACCGTCTGTAGCTTGGAGCGCCACTGCACGGGTCCACCAGCGAGGTAGACAATGCAGCCTTCACGAGACTTACGACCAGTTTCTTGAGCAAAGCTCGCATCAGTGTAGGTCGTGAGGCGAAGGTGCTGGCCAGACCGATAGGTCAGACCAAGGTCCTTCGTGCCCTTA